AATGGGCGCGGGTGCAGAGCATGTGCTCTGCATCTTTGCCAGGCCGAAGAAAAGAAGGCCAAGAAGTGAGGGACGAATCCGCGGCTGGGTGCGGATAAAAAACGGTGACAGTGTGGTGAAACACACGGAAAATGATGCATAGATATGATGTTACCCTCTGATAAACATACAAAAAACTATGGAAATCATCATGTTCAATGGGTAAATTCACGAACTAAATCACCATTTTCAATAGCTATGTTAAATTACCAGAGGGCATTTTTTTCTTGGAATTTTTGGGTCTGTGTTTTGTCAACATACCTTTTCTTTAGTGATTTCGGCAGATTTATCCAATACATCTGAGTTCGATAGTTTTCAGGCGCGTATCGCTTCAAACATCGCCCCCATATGAAAAACTTGGATCAACACACCAGTCAAGATTCTCTTGGGTTTTTAACAAAGCAACATCGGAGAATCATTGAGAACCAAACCTTGAATGACTTGAATGTGACGAACTACCTTGAACCATGAGTTGAACATGATGTGAGATTATCGTTTAGCAAATACCGGAGAAAACAATGGACAATGAACAGTAAATTTGTGTGCAGTTTTTTTTGAGAATTCAACAAGCCCATGGAACTTTCACCCTGACACCACACTGTTGGACACCTTTTGCGCCCTGCAGCAAAAAAACATGCGACGCACACCTGAGATTGACGTGTTGATGCAAAAGTTCTCGCTTCTCTTTGGAACGAACGTTTGCTTTCAGGTTGCTATGCAGGCAATGCTGCCAGAAATGCCTCTGAAATAAGGTACTTTGCATACTCCACAAACTTTGAAATGCGATGTGGACTCAATGATTTATCCTCTGGTAAACTAACATAACTATGGAAAATCACCATGTTTAATGGGAAAATTCACTATAAATGGCCATTTTCAATAGCAAACTGTTAGTTTACCAGAGGGTAACTAGTCCTGTACCAGTTGGATGCATGAGTGTCCACAGACAGATCATAAGATCGATTTCCCCAGAAAGATGTGAGTTTGAATAGCTTGTCGTGGCTACTGAAGCAACAGAATTCTATGAATTTTGGACACAGCCTGGGTGAAGGATTCGTGAGTGACTTCAAAGTAGAGAACTGGTTGGTGGTTTCAAACATCTTTTATTTTCCATTTCATATATGGGATAATCCCAACCCCATTGACGAACTCATATTGATGGTTATAGAACCACCAACCAGATAAATGTAGATGAATGTGGGAAACCCTAGCTGCCATAAACCCATCCTTTGGAGATGGTTGAAATCCCACACATAAAAATGTTGACTTGTGGATGGTGCAGATGGCATTGGGTTTACCACATTATATGATACGACTTTGGAGGATTCGAGCTCCAGAAAGACACCACGTTACTTAACCTTTTTATACGTTAGTTTTCTGCGAAAAGATCGTAAGGTTGGCCACATGCAAAGAAAGCGCCCCTCACATTGGCACGTCGATCTCTCTTGCACATGAAACCCTACAGCATCTGAAATGACAATATCTGGGCTTTGATGGGACTATCATCGGATAAGGATATGACATACCCTTGGAACATGGCCATTGGATGATTTACATCAAGATTTACCCATTAAAAATCATTAAACATGGTGAGAAAATCAGCAAATTTGGATGTGTCACATTTGGTCATCTGATGTCTTCTGATGTCTTTTTTTGTGTTTTTTATCCCGACATGATACGACGCGACATGGGACCATGGGGATCAATAGCCAACAGGATTTTCATATGGGTATGGGTCAATACCTATAGATACATTTTTAATATGTTTTAATGGGATGAACATCCATTTACCAGCTATTTTGGGGTTCACTAGGTACCAGGGTTTGACCCATCCCCATATTGAAAATGCGAAAAACCTTTGCCGCAAGAGGGTCATGAAATGTCATGAAATGTCACTCTGAACATGAAAAACAGTGAACTGTGCCTGGGTCCACTAGGCACTGATGAGCTCTTCATTTCTATCCTACTCGGACGCTGTAGTTGCGTAGCTGTGAACGCTCTTGAGCATATCTTTAGACCGAAACTTGCAGGTTCGTGGCGCAGCTTTCCGTTGTGCTTTGCGCCAAACCTGCAAGTTGCAATGCACTGCAGCATGATCAATGATCAAATCACTTCAGGTATCTTAAACTTTTGTTAGTTGGATTTCAATACATTTCCATTCACTTGCGTTTTTTGTCAATGATTCTCTTCCACTTTAGGACAAGCGTCTCAGAAATGCTACAGACGTGTAGCCTGATCTGCGGTTCCAGAACAGATACGGCTCTTCAAATGATGTTCAAATCCTCAAAAAGGCACATCTACCAACCAACGCAAACATATTCCTTGTTTTTTTTTGTTTAAAAACATATGGTCCATACTAATTTGTGCCATGGACCCCATGGACCGAGGTGATGGGAGTTCAGTACAAACCTACAAACCCCAAGAGATAGAAAACCTAACTACCATACTTCTTAGTTTTTTTTAGGATTTACCATCTGGTAAATTAACAGATTGCTATTGAAAATGGCCATAGAAATAGTGGATCTACCCATTGATAGCATGGTGATTTTCCATAGTTTTTTGTATGTTTACCAGAGGGTAACTTTTCGACCTTTTATAACTTCTTCCTATATCATATCCATTCATTAGGGAACCCCAACCGGGATTTTGCCAGGTGTGTTTTTTGCTAAAATTTCAGAGCTTCAGAGTGTCGGTTGACAGATCTTGGAATCACGGTGATGTGGATAAATTACTGGTTGGTGGTTTGGAACATGAATTTTATATAATTTTTTGACTTTCCATATATTGGGAATGTCATCATCCCAACTGACAAACTCATATTTTTCAGAGGGGTTGAAACCACCGACCAGACAATGATGGGCATTGGATTGGAGGTTTACCCAAGGAGGTGGCCCTAAACTTTTCTGGTGAATTCTTATAGTTTCTAAAGTCAATGTAACAATGTATCTACTGTCAGCCTTTTCTTCCCCATCAAACAATCCTAAATCCTAATAAGATGGTTATCATCATCTCCATATAGTAGATATTATATAGTTGATTAACCCCCATAAAGCCACCACATTTCCTGAATTTCTGCTGCATTGCGTGGACCAATTTCGAGTCTTTGCCACGGTCATGGCGTGGATTGCCCAGTGACCGACCCCGTTGGTTTCGGAAGACGAACAAGAAGAGGGCGGGGAGTCAGTTGGAGTGGCGAAGTCGACGTCCCCAACCGACTAGATGGGTAATATGTGAAATATCCTTTGGTTTTGTGCTATAAATGGAAAATTACATAAAAACATAGCCATTTTAGCAGCAAAAGATGACAATCTTTTCGCTAGCAAAGAGATTGACCATATTGATTGCAGAAATGGTGGTGTTTGAAGGGCAAACATCCAATTACTTTACTTCGTGTGATCCCCACCATGACATTTATACATTTTCTTACTGGCAAATCTTCTGGCATTCTATCTGACATATCTTCTGACATTCTATTTGGCATTCTATCTGACATATCTTCTGCATTCTATTTGGCATTCTATCTGGCACATCTTCTGGATCTGGCATATCTGGCATATCTGGGCATATCTTTGGCTTCTGGCACAAATCTGGCATATCTTCTGGCATTCTATCTTCTGGCATATCTGCATATATTCTGACATATCTTCTGGCATTCTATTGACATATATATCTGAATATATTCTGACATTCTATCTGACTATCTGGCATATATTCTGACATATCTCTGGCATATCTTCTCTATCTCTGGGATATCTATCTGGCATATCTTCTGGCATATTTTCTGGCATTCTATCTGGCAAATCTTCTGGCATTCTATCTGCATATCTTCTGCATTCTATCTGGCATTCTATCTGGCATATCTTCTGGCATCTGTATCTGGCATATCTTCTGGCATCTTCTGGCATACACTTGGCGTGGATACTCGCGGTTGAGGTCCGGCAGGGAACACTGGGCGTGGATGGTCGTGGTTGAGGTCCGGCAGGGAACACTGGGCGGGGATACTCGCGGTTGAGGTCCGGCAGGGAACACTGGGCGTGGATGGTCGTGGTTGAGGTCCGGCAGGGAACACTGGGCGTGGATGGTCGTGGTTGAGGTCCGGCAGGGAACACTGGGCGTGGATGGTCGTGGTTGAGGTCCGGCAGCGAACACTGTGGATCGCGGGTCGCAGTTGAGCAAGGACGACGAGGACGACGAGGAGGACGAGGAGGAGGAGGAGAGGAGGACGAGGCAGGAGGAGGCGGAGGAGGAGGAGCAGGAGGAGGAGGAGGCAACTGACATAAAATCTAACAACCCTCACCTGGCAGGTGGGGAATAAAAATGAGGTTGAAATAAGGGTACCCCGAACTTCAATCGTCGATCATCAGCTCAGGGGGAGTACACCTCTTACAGACCAAGTGATCCAAGTGTCCCTGTTTTGTGTCAGCATCCTCGGTGGGCTATCTCCAGTAGCTTTCTGACCAATCTCAGGAATCACCGTCTGGGATTCAGGAATCACAGCAGCCTATTTTTGGGGACCTTGGTGCCACCTGTATTTTTTGGGGTTGCTTGGGTCACACACCTGTATTTTTATGGTCAGCGAATAACTTGAGGTATAATCTTGGGTGGCTCTGAATTCCAAACGCTGAAATGTGTAGGTTGCACTGTAGGCAGCTTCCCGTGTGTGAGTGCGAAAATTGCTCAATTTGGCCCATAGTGTTGCTTATTTTCTCCGCCAGGCATGGCAACAGTTGGGGTTGTCAATAGCATAATTAAACCTGTTGGACCATGGAAGTCAGGACAAGGCTGTTCTTAGTTGACTCAGATCTCTAAAAACCGTTCAAAGAGCAACTCTTCCTGATCCACGTTCCTCAGAAATCCAGCCCCACATCAGCTACTAGACATTTAGATTGAACAACAAAAACAGTAAGAAAACATAATAAAACAATTAAAAGATATCAATAGTCCTCTATTTTACTGTGGTGGATCTTACGGCAGAAGCCAGCCATAAGACTGTTGCCGGTGCCCTGTGCAAGAAACGCGTAAGGGCACGTTGTGCGCTTGTTGCTCGTCAGCTTGCGGGGGATTCATGAACTGGACTTTGGTGACCACCCGAAACATGAACATGATAATGTCAACCCCGGATCTTTAAACCATGGTTTATTAATTAGGGGGGTATTCCCCCAATAGTCATGATTTGATACTTAAATGGTACCTTCCCAATTAAACAGCCGTAAACGGGGTTTATTCATCCGGGGATGACATTACCAGTGATCCCCATATTTTGATAATATATCAACAATATGAGGATATATACTTAAATGATGGTTGGTTGGTTGATATTATAGAAATATATATATATATATAATGATATCTTATATAATTATGTATATATATATATACATATATTGTAGACTAATTTGGGTTTGTCTGAAAATAGGGGATACCTAATACCCATAAATAGTTTTAATAGTGAAAATTATTTTCTAGTCCATTGGAAGTGGGGTACCCTATCAGACAACCCCGGTGGGGGATGGTACTTTAAGTCAAAAAAATGTGGCTTTGGAAGATGTACCCGGCCTGGTAATTTAACATAGCTATAGAAAACTAGTCTTCCAACCCCTATTTGGCAGGGTTTATGTTAATATACCAGCGGGTAACCATGGTTATAACACCTTCATAAGTTGGTAAGTGGGGCCCAACTATGGTGAAATCTATCGACAAAAAGTTCACTGGACGGAACTGCACTTATCCTTCAAATAGTCAGAAGCTGTGGAAGTGCACTAACAGAGAGATTCTCCGAACTGATCGGAGAACTTGCCCATGATAATATGTCTAGTTCACCATGTTGGGAAGGTTTGATCTCACACACACATATATATACCCTCTGGTTATGACTAACAGTTAGCCATGGAAGTCATGGCCCATTTATAGATGATTTTCCCAGCTAGAAACCTCCATTTATAAGGGATTTTCCATCTGGTTTATGATACCATCTGGTTATGACTAACATTTTGCCATGGAAAATCACCATGCTATTAAGAACGGTAAACCATCTATTTTTATGGGCCATGGCTTCCATGGCTATTTTAAATAACCAGAGGGTATGTATAAATGTATATATTTATACATATCTCACACAAGATGGACACTTTTTTGGGGATGTTTAGCTGCTCGGTCAGAGGATGTTTAGCCGAAAAAGTTGTTACGTGAGGATGTCACCATGCCATAGCATCTCTCAGTTAAGCATGGTGGATAGCTCAGATATGATCCAGTTTTGTACGATTTCTTCTAAGGATCCCAATGGGGTACCCAATAGCTGGATGGTTTACAATGGAACATCCTATTGAAATGGATGATGACTGGGGATACCCCTATTTTGGGAAACTCCATACAGTGATACAGGTTTTATGCGTTATCTAATGTATATATTAGGAGGTTTCCTGAGTCATGGGAGTACCCCCAAATCATCCAAGTCATTAGACAATTACGGTATTGAAAGCTATGGTGACGTTGGGATCCCACATGACTTAGGAAACCTCCATATGTAACAAATTACGCATAACAATATGTATATTTTTTTTCAGTCTGGTTCAGGGAAGAACACAAGGGATTCCCCTCCTATCAACTATTAACCATCAGATTAGCATTTATATAAAGAACATACCCTCTGGTAATTTATCAGTTTGCGAACTGGAAAATCGCCATTTATTAATGGGTAAATCAACTATTTCTTCAATAACAATGTTAGTCTACCAGAGGGTAAATTGTCAAGTGGTGATGTATGTAAGCAAAAACCAAAATACCAGGGATATTTGGTCCTAGTTGCAGCTAGGATCACCCCAATAACCGAGAACTGCACATGATACTGGGCCAACCTCGGGTGGCAGGTGTTATTTTGCTCTTAATTCAATGATGATTCATGATAACTACTGTACAATGTGGGCCCCTCAGTGATGTTTGTTGGTTTAGATTCGCCCCAGTAACTATAGTTATAAAATGTTATAAATACCATAAACCATAGTGAAATTGGAGTTATTTGCACCAACTTAGCTATCGTAAACGGGGGCCCCACATTGTAGAACTTGCCAAATATGGGGATAGAAGTTTCAACATGTTTCAGCAAGCAACAATGGTGATATCAATATATCACCTGTGACATGCTTTTAAGTGAGAAAAGGGTCGAATCCAGTTCTGTGTTCCACATGTTTTGCGGAATACAACACTTAAGTATACATATCTATCTATATCCATAGAAGATTTGGTAACTGTTGGTACATACACTGTGACATACAAGGTGGTGCCCCCTCAGTTATAAGTTGCTTCAGCTTTACGCATCTAAACTCGCGCTGAGTCCTGAGTCGCCATGCTGGGTGGTTTGCCGCAACAGCAGATGATGATGTGCCTTGAGTTGCAGCCGTGGTTGTGGTAGGTTCCCATTGTGAACACCAGGGATCAATAAAGATATTTATATAAGATGAAGATCTGGATTTCACATCAATCTAGACTATTTGAACATCTATCTGGGAATAAGTCAAATGAAATAATGTCAACCCCGGACTAATAAACCATGGTTTATTAATTAGGGGGGTACTCCTTCAATAGTCATAATCTGATACTTAAATGGTACCCTCCCAATTAAACAATCTAGGGGTTTATTAATCCAGGGTTTCACATTATATCAAACCGAAACTAGATATTTTTGATCTTTGTCGGTTCAACATTGGTCCAGTGTTGGTTTTGTAACATATGGGAGAAAATAGTGTGCTCAACCAACTGGACGCTTAGTGACTTAGTGGGGCCCAGTTCAAAAGTAGGCGACTCGAACCCCCATGAACTACAGTTACAAGTAGAAAATAAACCATACCCCAATGCTCCATGTATGGTATATTTACCTACAACGCTGGGTGATTTATGGGGTAAATGTTGGTAAATATTCCATACATGGAGCATATGGGATAGTTAAACTTGAGTTATAGCTAAGTCTTCGCTATCTAGGGACTTGTGAAATACCAATTCTTCAGGATCCGTACTTTTGCTTTGGGGCACCCGCAGCTTTTGCAAGTAAGTGCTTCCCGTCTCTGCCAGGCAGTTTTGGCAAGCGCAACAACAGCGCATTCAGCTTCCTGATCCTGCGGCTACGCAAATAGAAAGTGACTGGCTTTCGATCAAAAACGCCTGCGGTGATAACTTGTTAGCTGATCAAAGATTAGGTTAGGTTACCCTTTGGCAATCAAAGATGTTCACTGGAACATTGGAACATTGGGTTTCATGCTCCCAAAAAAACTTGGGTTAACCATAGGTATATCAATGGCTTATTAACCATAGGTATTGTTAAAAACCTAGGTATATCAATGGCTTATTAACCATATCATGTTCCAAAATGGGAACATCATCATGGCACTGGAAGATTCGATGATGGGAACCCATTTTGCTGGTGATCCTTGCCATGTCATCCCGTTGCGTTTCCGAAGTATTCGGGGGGTTCCTAAGTAAATGGGGTACCCCAAATCATCGTCATTAAACCGTTGAAATGTATTGAAACTTAAAGAGAAACCTCAATGGAGCAGAAAGTAAAGATCTTGAATCTGATTGGTTTGAGGTTGAACACGGAGCCATGTTCTCTTTTGCTTTTAACCAAACTGCCTGGACTTTGTTTCATCATGGCCAAGGTATCCCAGTGAAAGCTGCGGCGCCGACCATGCCAGCCACATTGTCGGGCTTGCTGGGTGTACCTTGGACACCGACGAACCACTGATGCCATGGTGTCATGGTCAAGTTAATGTTAACATAAGGGACACTGCATGACGAATATTTACCTGTAAGTACGAGGAGATTATCATCAGTCATCCACCATTTTCACTGGAGGTAGTATGTATATATATATATATATTATGGCGGTTTCCTAAAATGGGGGCCAAACACATCATCCACTTAAATAGGATGTTTCATGGATTGGACCCCGCTAGGACCTGTGCACGTAGAATCAGCAGGCCAAATACCCCAATGCGGACCATGGTGCTGGTATATTTACCTACAAGTTTCTGGGTGATTTATGGGGTAAATGTTGGGATTCATATTCCAGCACCATGGAGCATATGGGATATAGAATGTACCGGTTGGTGGGTTGAAATCTGTTTAGTTTCAACATGTTTCAACCATATTTGGGAAGATCTCCAATGATCAGAATTTTCAGATGGGTTGACACGAGTCACTATTTTCTGTGAAAATCTCAAACGTCCAGGTGTTTGTTCGTGAGACTCTTCAGTCATTTTGTTTGTCAAAATCCCTCACTTTTTTGGCCAAAATGATCTTTCTGTTGGCGGAAAAATGGCAGTTTGTTTACAACCGTTTATACCTTTATGCAGTCTGCAGTCGAACAATGCATACAATGATTGGTGTCCCCAGCTATATATGAGTAATAGCGTTATTCCCTATTTACTTGACTTGACTTATATTATATGGGAAATATATGATAGGGGTCAAGGTATAACTACCTATTCACACATGCATAGTGTATGATATCCAATACAGCCTTTTAAAACAAAATGCAATGTTATTTGAATTAGAACGAATTCAATGATTGTCTTGTAGGTCAGCTACTTAAGATATGTTAAGATATTAACTCAGATACTTCAAATTTCCATTGGACTTTGTCTGAGAATGATATTAGTACCCCAGGATCCCATCCTTGCTATCCACTGGTCCTTCGACCAAGAAACTTGCCTCGATTCTCTGCACACTTTTCCGCACTGACGGAGGGACGGCTTTGGTGACATGACCAACCTGAGTTTGGACATGAAAGTGCAGACATGTTTTTTTTCATCAATCACTGTGGCATGGGGCAATCCCTCTATCCGCGTCTTCTCCAGCATGTTTCATGATAAATCCACGTTTTTGAAAACAGCACACATATAATTTCCATGTATTTCACTCTAAAGCTGTACAAATCATGATGTATTTTGACAGATAATTCTCCGTGAAATCTGTATAAGAATCCCTAATAGGATCCCCTCATCGAAAGAATTTCGTATACATCATGTCATAGAAATCACATCAAATACAAATACGAAGAATAACTATAGAAACTATATAAATCACCCGAAAATCAGAAAATCCACCAGAAATTCCACCGATTTTCCCCAGGCCTCAGCAGCTCCATCTCCGGGCCCCGTGGTGGTGCCGCCGCCCACGCCGGAAGCCATGCACTTTGGCGCCGCCGCGGCGCAAGCCGCGGCGCAAGCCGCGCAAGTCCCGGCGCCGGGGGCGGCGTTGAGCGCCGCGATGACGCAGGTGGTGTGGAGACGGGGATGCTGGGGATGACCGGATGACCATCAAAACCTATGAACATGTGGTAATTACCCTCTGGTAAACTAACATAGCTATTGAAAATTGCCATTTATAGTGGATTTACCATTAAAAAAATGTGATTTTACATGGTTATGTTAGTTTACCAGGGGGTAAATACTGGTTGGTGGTTTGGAACTAACCCAAAACTGGCCATGGAAACCATGGGCTTATTGGATGTATAAACCATAGTTATTGGATAAACCAATTTTATAAACCCAATACTGGTTGGTGGTTTGGAACCATTCCAAAACTGGCCATGGAAACCATGGGCTTATTGGATTTATAAACCATAGTTATTGGATAAACCAATTTTATAAACCCAATACCGGTGTTGGTGGTTTGGAACATGTTTTTGTTCCATTCAGTTGGGAATATCATCATCCCAACTGACGAACTCCATCATTTTTCAGAGGGGTGGCTCAACCACCAACCAGAATAGGTGAAATGGTATACTGGTTGGTGGTTTCAACCTTTTTTTATTTTCCATAATCTATGGGATAATCCTTCCCATTGACATTTTTTCAAGATGGTTAAAACCACCAACCAGTAGAATATTATAAGAAATGTATTATTTGCGAACTGGAAAATCACTTGTTGAATAGGTAAATCATCGAAACATGATCCATTTTCCATAGCTATGTTGGTTTACTGGAGGGTATAACACATTACAACCACATTGGGGGGGAACAATCATCCATTAACCAGCTATGACTTAGGGTACCATTTGGGTATCAGGGTTTTGACCCATAGCCAACTATTCCCAGAGATGGGGTTATATAATATTCATTGGTAAGGAAAATCGTAATTTAATGAGAATAGAACCACCAACAATATTCTGGTGATAATCTCTTGGATTGTTTTGCTTGACATGGGGTTTTCTTCAAATAGGCGATCCCCAAGTCACCGTGGTTGTTTCAATACTAAGTCATGATCTAATGACTTGGATGATTGGGGGGTACCCACATTTAGGACATTTTAGGACATATTCGTATTCAATACTATTAAAAGTAAGGATAACTTCAAACAAATAGAACCAGGAAATCAATATAATGGGTTCTACTAAATTATACTAGTAATTAGCAATATATCAGTAATAGTAGTTGAATTCCCGGAACTCTATAATTTAGGGATGTTCAATTGCCGTGTCTGATGACACCGGAGGGTATATGAAGTTGTAAAGTTGTTCAACGATTCTGTATAAAGTTGGAGTTATTCAACGATTCTAAAGTTAGGCTTATTCAACGATTCTAAGGTTAGATGGCCATAATACTAACTTGTACTCAGTTATATTAAGCTATAGTTGAAATTTGGTGATAATCAATTAGGAGGGAGCTGTTGAGCTATGGGGATTCCACATGCCCTATTAAACGGGGAGACAAGGAGCGACGAGTTTCCCAACCACATGATAGGTAAGCGGCTGATGAATTATTTAACATAGCTATGAAACATTGCCTATGTTTACAGGAATTATGATTATTCACCTATTAAAAAGGACAATTTTCCATAGCTGTGTTGAATAACTTAACCAAATGGTAAGTTGTATAATTTTCAAAAGAGATAATTACTATAGCCATTCATGGGGATAATAAGTACTAACTAGTAATGCACATGTTGGTGATAATAATGGTGACCAAACACGATGAAAGGGTGTTATTTTCCATTTTTCTTGATGATAATAGTTCAAAAAAACATACCATGTTGGAAATACACGGTAATTCAAAATTGTAGATTTTACCGTTCAGTCAGTAAACTAATATGTTACTTTGAAAACCAATGGTTTTCCAATATTTTTTTGTGCTAACATTACTATTATATAAATACTATTAATATGTTTTGGGTTTATGGTTTGTAATCATACACCCCCCCCATTTATGGCAAGACATTGAAACACTAAAGTTATTTCGGGGTCTCCAAAGTGTTTCCGTGAAGATTTCCAGGTTTCCAACTGCTCCAACACATGCTTGGGGGCTGCTGGAATGATTAATATGACCTTTGTATTTTAACAATAACATGTATTATCAGTGGTGAATCTTGCATTCTAATTTTGATTTTGAGTGTATTTTGCTAAGGCGTGTGCTTCCCTAAATACTGAACTCATCTCAATCGCTTTCCAGCCTGTTTCTGTTCTTGGTCTGGAAATATTGGGAACAGCTTTGGAATATTGGGAACTTCCAGCCGTTTCTTCTAGGCCAGGAAAGGTCATATGGTTTTGGAGTACGGGGTATGGCGAACGCCCGTCGCCACCACAATGTACAACCCACTCCAGCCCAGGACCCTGGACGTTCATTGAAAAAAAGTCTGACAAAAAAAATACAGTTTCCTCCTTAACATGAATGACATGTTTTATCATGAAATTGTTTAAATGATTGTTGGATATTTTCCCATTAAACCTCCATTTACTATCATTTACTGGGAATTTCACAGTGCCGTGTTTGATTACCGCTACTGGCTATTCATTTGGAGATGAGGGATGGGACAGTTGTTCTTTGTTCTTCAATTTTCTTGGTGGATCTAACCAGCCCACGAAGGGATTCCATCAAAAACGTTCAAACGCCATGTTGATATATTAACTATGGAATATATAGATATATAATATAACTTAGGATACATAAATAACCTTAGTTGATATTATATATATATAATGAATATATATATATTAAATCATCATAACCTTAGTCGATATGATATGTGCTGGTATATGATAAGAACATTACATATCCTTCTATCAAATAGGATTCATCATGGTTGATATTCTATGGGATATGTAACCAGCAATTTTGGGGTTATATTGTGTACAGTGACGAAGTGGGTATATCAATGTGAGACATGTATTTCATCATATTCTAATCGAGATAATGATCGTTGATAGTTGATACTAACTACTATGAACATGAAATTTATATGCGTAATATAGTATATTATAATATATATTAAGTATATTATGATATAACCTAAGATAATAAAAATCAATACAATACAATCTATAACAAAATAATATAATGTAATATAATCTTATGTAATATAATTTAATATGCAATAACATGAAATATTATAATATAATATAATATAGTATAGTGAAATATAATATAACATGATAACTACAATACAATACAATCTATTACAATATAATATAATTTAATATAATATAATGTAAAGTATAATATAATATATAATGTAATATAATATAATATAATATAATTTAATATAATATAATATAGAATAGTACAATATAGTATAATATCATGTAATGTAATGTACTGTAACATAATATAAAGCATCATAAAATAATATATAATAATATATAATAATATATAATAATATATAATACAATATGATATGATATGATATATTGTGTCATACATTGTATTATATTTAAGATAATGTGTATATATATATAATGTAGACTATATAAATTCATAATATATAATAATAGTATTAAATGATAATGCTCATAATAATCAAACTAATAATATATTATAGTGTATTATACCATGTTATATTTTAGAAATATTATATTGTATTATATCATATATATATATATTTGTTCCCCATCTTGGGGACGGAGTTGTCAATGCGGGGATTCTGAGCCAGCCTAATCGGATAGTCAATGCACCAATGCGGATATGCGCTATCTCCTCTGCAAACATGGGACGGAATCCCAATGCCACGTGAAACAACGCCCTTTATGGACGAGTGGTCTTCCCTCTGGTAAACGTTTACAGTTTGCGAACTGGGAAATCACAATCTTTAATAGGTAAATCAACTATAAATGGGCAATTTTCAATAGCTATGTTAAATACCAGAGGGTATCTGTGAAGTTCAAGATTTGCCATGACCAATCCCAAGAGGTACTGGGCGCAGTGTTGACATCTGGGTACCAGAGTTCAACCAGCAGAAATGGGGTGGAATGTCTATGGAAGTCATGGTTTTCCTGGTTCTTTTGTAAAGTCGAAAACTTTAATAGCTTGTTGTACATAGGCAAACCAGGAGATGGTCATGGAGTCTTTGATATTCCCATCGTCTTCAAAGAAACCGCCAAACAAAATCATAGGGTATAACCATAATATTCCAGTTTACTGGAGTTGTTTATTTTTCATTATTTTTCTATGTTTTCCCAACGATTTTCAGGTACCAAACCCATTTTCCTCTGATTTTCCCACCATTGATTTGGTTTTCCTACGAAAATCACCCAATACTTTCCAATCATAGTCCAATCATATTCCAATTCAACCCCACTAAATCCATCGTATACATTTGTATAATCCATCATTCTTTTCAATTTCCCTATTTATTTCCCTATTTATTTCCCTATTGATTTCCCTATTTCTTTCCGGCTTGGCGTTGCGCGGCACAGATGAAAAGATGGGAGCTCGAATGCGTCACAGGAGGAGATCGATTTCCAGGTCACTGCTCTGTAAGCTCTTCGAGAGTACCATCCAAGCACCGTTGAACACATATGAGCTGGAGCAGGCATTCATGGAGGTCAAGACCACCAACGGGAAGGTTGGCTTCTGCGTAATCAATGCTCAGCCAATCACGGCTGCATTGATGGCGGTATGCGTGACACAGTCAACTTGTGCAAAAGCAGAGGATTCGATGCATTAGTATCCATAGGATCCATGTATGGTATATTGATGGTAAATGTTACCATATAGCATACATGGATCCTATGGGGTAATGTGTGCAGGCGACAGCGCCTACATCTTCATACCTTGGTCACGCGAGGTGGAAGTGGAGATGTTGAGGGCTCGTGTCGCCACGATCTGTCGGCGCTTTTACAGTGGCAATCCGAAGATGCGTTCAGATTTACTGCGGCATTATTTATTATCATATTCCCATTCTTTTCATATTCCAACAATTTGCTTGGGTTTTTCATGCATACAGGATGGGCCCCCCAGTTATAAGTTGGTTTATATACCATTATAACCCCCATTAACTAGTTGGTTATATCTACCATAAACCATAGTTTTTTCAGCCACTGAAATCAGGCAACTGAACGCGAGCTCGACTGGGGGCCCCATCCTATAGGTATATCATGAACACATTCCCATTCATGGGTTGTTAATGGCATTAAATCCCAAAAAGTATCCCATCATCAATATCTCATCATTGGTATTATATATATCCATCAATGGTATTATCATATGGAATGATGGGATATAATGATTTAATGCCATTATAACATGGTATCTTCCCAGCCATCAGCATCATCAGCCCCTTTTTAATACCAAAAACTCGTCACCAGGTGACCACAGCCAGCGTGAACGGTGGCCACTTTCCATCCATGGAGGAGCTGGCGCAGAATTGGCATTGCGGTGAGACAGGGCACACCACCCTTGAACCTCGGGCCGCAGCCGAAACGCAGCGGGGATGGGCCCGGTAGATTGGTGGAGCCGGGGCCACTGGTTTCGGGGATGGATGCGGCCGGATCAACATGGTGTGCGTGTTGTTGGCCGCTGGATTTTTGAGTTTTCGTTTTTTGTGTTTCGGAGTTTTTTTTTTTGTTTTGGGATGAGTTAACACATAATCAATTAGTTAAAACTGCCTAAAACTGGATAAATGATTTAAATGGCATCAATGGTGATGTGTTTTTTTCCAGATAATCCATGGATTAGTTATAATGGAAAAAATATAAAGAGACTGGGTTAGTACAAATGGATACCCTCTGGTAATTCAACATAGCTATGGAAAATCCCTATTTTCAATGGGTAAATCCACTATAAATGGCCATTTTCAATAGCTATTTTGACATAACCAGAGGGTATCCATGAGGATATGGAGGCAGAATGGAAGGAGATGGAGGAGCCTTCTGTTTCCTGAGGCTAGCTATAAGTTGGAGCCTAATGACTCTAATGACTGCTGGGTTTATGATACCCGGCCTGGTAAACATACAAAAAACTATGGAAAAACACCATTTTTTAATGGGTAAATCAACTATTTCTATGGGCATTTTCAATAGCTATGTTTGTTTACCAGTGGGTAATTAGTGTAATGTGATTAAAACAAGCATAAACCATTCCCAAGCTCACCATTTTGATGGATGGTATAAACCATCAAAAATCGGATGGTTTATTATTGTTTTAACCACATTACTCTAGTTCATCGGCCCCCCATAGATACTGAGCAATCTTGGCTAAGTTGCTGCAAATAACTCCAAAAAATGTTGGGTGCATGGTAATTATACACTCTGGTAAACTAACAGTTTGCTATTGAAAATGGCCCATAGAAATAGTTGATTTACCTATTAAAAATGGTGATTTTCCAGTTCGCAAACTGTAAACGTTTACCAGAGGGTAACTATAGTCAATCGGGTAAATAGATGACCGACCTATCACTTGCAGATTTCACCGAATCGTTCAAAAAGCAGAAAAAAGCTATGGGGATTCGTAGAAAATCATCATGTTTAATGGGTAAACCATCTGGTAAACATACAAAAAACTATGGAAAATCACAATTTTTGATAGGTAAATCAACTAAATCAACTATTTCTATGGGCCATTTTCCATAGCAAACTGTGAATGTTTACCAGAGGGTAGTTGATTTGTGAAGAACTGTAGTTACTGAAGCAACCAGCATGGAAACTCATAGGGTTAGTAGAGCCTTGAACCAGGTGAGTCAGGAATAGTTGGTACCTTTGTTCGTTGCTTAATGTTTGTTTCAATGGAGTTACTCTTGGGGGTTCGATTATCAAATACACAGGAATGGTTAAATGATTATTATAGGGGGTTATACATGGTTATACCGAGTTATACTATAGTTTATATTGGGGATTATGATAACCCAATAATGGGAATATGGAGATACCTGCGGTGTTGGTTTCCCCAGTTCATTTTACTGTAACCCAAGATTAAGAAACCACTAGTTTACTACGGGGGGGCACGAATTCAGCTGATAATTTATCACCATTGTTTGTAATCCCCCTAATTCGTTCACAGCGTTTGATATTGCTGGGGTGGGAGGATGATAATCTGTGACAAAGGGGATTTAACTTGACATAACAACAACTCATCTGTGGGATTTACCAAGAATAAATTGGAGTATAATAACCAGCACCGATACTTGTACCAAACCCTCTGCCTCTCCAGTTTGGATTTATAAATTGGTACAACCATGGCAGCCACGGTAAAAAGAAACAATCAGAAACATAATAAGTTGGTATATAACCCCTAGCCATATATTTGCTTATGAAATAGGTGGTGATGGTGGGCTCTAATAGCTGCATCCATAGGCAAACCACTGGGAGACTGGCGGGGGCGCGTGACGCAAGCCCCTGGAATTACCTGACCTAGCGGATCCTAGCGGCCTAGCGAAGCAGTTTTGGTCCTGACCCCAAGTCCAGCTAGTCCAGGCTTGTTCGGCAATTTGGACATCCAGGGAGTACCCCCTGGTAAACTAACATAACTATGGAAAATCACCATTTTCAATGGGTAAATCCACTATCAATGGCCATTTTCAATAGCTATGTTAAATTACTATAGGGTAATATGGAATAAGGGCAATTAATATGGGAATAGTATGGGAATAGTTTTTTGGATGGGGCCCCCCAGTTCTGTGAACGTTGGTTTATAAACCAATATATTATAACCCCCATTAACTATAGTTCTATCTAGCATAAACCATAGTTAAGCCATTAACTATAGTAACTATAGTAATTATAGTAACTATAGTTATAGTTATATCTGTACCATTTTTACCATCGTTTTTTCAGCCCCATTCTGTAATGGTGGAGGGCTCTCCGGTATCCAAAGATTTTTTCAAAGACCCTGCTGCAACGGTGGTGCCCCCGTGAACCAGTTATGGCGTTCAGGCCAGGGGGCCACGTTTAACTCCAATAACTCACAACCTGGTTTTTGTTGGTGATATGAAAATCGAACTAGTTATATAATGGGGTGAATCTAAACCAACAAACATCACGTTTGGGGGGCACCACCTTCTGCCCAGTTCTTTCGCTAAGTTGGTAGACAGAACTGGCTCTGTTAGAACGCCCTAAAAAACGACCCAGTCGCTTTAGTCAGGTTCAGTGAAATGCTTTGCTGGTTAGTGGTTTAATGCTGATCTGGTATATATCAATATATGGATGATTAACGGATGATTAATTAGTTATGTCATGGATGATGATGGTATCTAAATATACTAGTTGGTGGTCTGGAACCATGGAATTTTATGACTTTCCATAAAAAGTTGGGAATGGAAAAATCATCCCAACTGACTTTAACTCCATCATTTTTCAGAGGGGTGGGTTGAAACCACCAACCAGTTTGATACTCATGTACTTCTGATACGGTTTCCACCCACCTGTCAATCCTCCTGGCATGGTTGGGCCGACAGGGACAGCTGCCGTGCCCGGGGCGGGGTTACCTGGAGGCACTCCACCATCTATGAGAATGTCTGCCGCGCCTGCCAGTGGACCTCCGATGCCGGCGGCACCTGCTAGTGGACATCCATTGCCTGCGGCACCTGCCAGTGGATACCCAATGCATGCGGGACCTGTCAGTGGACACCCAATGCCTGCGGGACCTGTCAGTGGACACCCAATGCCTGCAGCACCTGCCAGTGGACATCCAATGCCTGCGGGAGTAGGTGCGGGGCTGCCCCCGCCGCCAACGTTACCGGATTCTTTGTTCATGGCTTATTGCCCAGAACGTCCAGGTGAACAGCGTCCCACTGCCCCGATGGGTATTTCAACTCCCAGTCAGAGAGCCTTAGGCCACTAACGAATTCCTGGGATGCTCCCCAAGTAGTACCCGGCCTGCGAACTGGAAAATCAGCATTTTTCATGGGAACATCAACTATTTCTATGGGCCATTTTCCATAGCAAACTGTTAAATTACTGATGGCACATACCCACCCAAGTTCTGCTTGTTCGAGATGATACGCAGAATGCCTACATTGGACATCATTGGACTGTATTGGACATCCGTGGACATTTCACTAGTCGAAGGATCACCCCACATAGCAAGTCACAACATGTCACGACTATAGTTGCAATCATCCCCATTTGTGAGTAAACTATTCCTATGCTCAGGTAGTTACCTGAGTTACCTGCCATCCTACCATCTGCAAGATAGCAGAGCCAATTCGCTTAGATTGGTTGGATCTGATTTTTCTATTTTTTCTTGCTTATATCCCCATGTCATTTACAACCGTGATGGAACCCACATGGAACACATGGAACACACATGGATCACATCTTGAAGTCCTATATGTTAGTTTTCAGAAGAGTGGGCATATTAGTTGGGGTGAGTCCTTCCATTGGACAAACCCAGATATCGATAGATACCATTTGGTTATTGAACGTAGCCATGGAAAGATCCACCCATGTTTAAGAACGGTAAACCTCTATAAATGGGCCATTTAACCCATGGCAAACTGTTAGTCATAACCAGAGGGTATAACTAATATTTGTGATCCCATGAACCATCCCATCATCAATTTAATGGTTGGTTTCAAGGCCGGCTGAGTTGAAATCAACCATAAAATTTAGGATTTTTCAGCAGGTGAAATCTAATCTTTGATCATTACCCTCTGGTTATGACGTTCACAGTTTGCCATGGTATAGATGGCCCATAGAAATAGATGGTTTACTGTTCTTAATAGCATGGTGGATCTCTCCATGGCGAACTGTGAGTCATAACCAGATGGTAATCATTGAACTCAGTTTTTTCATGTTTTTTTTACTTATTTTCACTAGTTGAATGGCTATGTTTGATGATGAAACACCTATTTTCGATGCTTAAACACCTGTTTTTGATGGTTAAGCCATGTTGAAGACCTATGTTTGATGGCTCGTCCACCTTTTTTTTAAAGGTCGCGATGATCCTCCCACTGTGTTTCTCTCAGGATCTGGAAGTCAAAGTTCAAGACCCTATGGGACAGGTCTTGCCCAGTTACTTGGAGTGTCAAAGATGTGAAACGTTGAGGGTGTATTACCCTCTGATTATTTAACATAGCCATGGGTTAAATGGCCCATAGAAATAGATGGTTTACCGTTCTTAATAGCATGGTGGATCTTTCCATGGCTATGTTAAATAACCAGATGGCAATACAGTGTGAATTTCCCACAATGGGATTATATATATATATATTGGATAATACAAATATTGTATTATATAAAATGTATATATATATATATAATTATGTATTTATGGGAGATTAAGACTATATATACATACATGATGGGATATATATATATATGTGATATGTATACGTATATCTATGGGATGATCAGGGGTATGAAATAAATAAAACGCATTTCAACTATATATAATTGGCCTTACAAGTGGCTTAACTGCTGTTTATGGTAGATGTAACTACAGTATTCAGTGGGTTTATAAACAAACTTATTACTGGGGGCACCATCCTGTATATATTATAAGTGATGGTGTTATATATATATATATACATACGTGTATACATATATATTGTATCATTTAATTAGTACGTATTGTATGGGATATAAATGGGATGATTATGGGATGATTATGGAATAAACCATCGGAGTTTTGTAATTATGGGATATACCCTCTGATTATCTAACATAAATACGGAAAACCCCATATTTACAGATGATAAACATAATGTGTTACTTCTTCAAAATGGTCATTGTCCATGGCTACGTTCAATAACCAGAGGGTAATGGGATGATTATGGGATGATTATGGAAATTGTCCCTCCTTTGTCTCATCAAACGTGGCAAGCTACGAGATCCCAGAACGGAAATCCCATGGAGGTTTGTAGCTCGGAAAAACATTTATCAATGGGTACTCTCTGGTAATTTGTTACATACCTATGGAAGCCATGGCCCATTTAGTTCGTTGATTTACCGAACTTAAAAGTGGTGATTTTCCATAGTTAAGTTAGTTTATCATGGGGTAGTTGTTCATTGCCATGCTTATGATTAGCGGATGGTAATGTATTAATTTATGTATTGTAACATCGAATACAAATTTCTCATGTGATGAATATATGTATCTATATACATCACATTTAAACCATCATACACGAGTGAGAATGTTAAAACCAATTTACTGGGTACATCCTCGCTTCCTCACTGCTGTCTCATGGGGTATGTTGGTTGAAACCCAAATGTCAAAAATGGACACATGTTGACTCCTGAGTGGTTTCATTGCCTGAGTTCTGTCTCAATAGTACCAGCATTGGTGCATTCCTGCAGTAGATGTATCGTCCTTATTGAACTATGTAGCAGAGAGGTTTTACCCCAGAAGCCCATTGAACATGACATGTGTTTGCCATCGAACTGCTTAACACGAAACTCCCTGGATCATGCAATTTGTTCGGATTCCTTTCTTCCATGCAGAACCAGGTTTCGCAACGGTCCATTTTCCTTGGAAAGTGTTGATGAAAGGGTGGTTTGGATTTGTTGCCATGTTTCAAGGATGATTTTTTTGCGTCCTGCTCCAAGTATAGTTGTTTTAACGTGTATCTTCTTGAAGCGATCATCAAATCTGTGAGGATATATATACATATATATATATTATACATGATATTTTATATATACAGTATATATATATAATGTGCTTAATCTTGGCTGAAGTTGCCTTGACTGAGGTTTCACAGGCTTTGATACCTTTGAGGCATGTCCTTTTCCTCCAGCCATCAAGAGACTGGGCTGCAAGGGGCTGAGATCATGTTGGGTGCGAGAACCACAGATGTTTTGAGGTCAAACATGTTTCTCTATTGTTCAACGGCTAAACATAAAATTAGTGGTTCCATCATTGCTGTTGGTATTATAACTTTGCATCATTATTGTTGGTTACACTGTTGTACTCCTATTCTGGATATTCTGGATTGTTAACCATGCGGTTACATTGATTCAACGTATGTTTGCCCACATCAGACTAAGAATCGAGTTGTGACTTTGGGCTCAACAAACCACCAAATAAATTTCAATGACTTGTTATAACCCCATGGATTTCATTAGTTAAATCCTTACTATTGATGCTGAACTCCGCATTTTTTTGGCTGGTTAAATCATAACAATCCAATCTAATAATAGGATGACCTGCCTGCAATACAGCATTGTTGTTGGTTACAATTCTTAGCCTCTGGTAAGCTAACAGTTTGCTACGGACAATAGCCATTTTTAATTGGTAAATCAACTATAATTAATGGCTATGTTCAATAGCAAACTGTAACAAATTAGCAGAGGATGGTAATTGGTGATTTCACATAGCATAGCTTAAGGAAGATCATACTATTCATAGGTAATTCATCTGTAAAAGGGATCATTTTGCGTGGCGATGTTATGAAAACCAGAAGGCAAGTTTATTAGAAATCCCATTTAAATAATTTACTCTATTATATTTAAGGGCTGCCGCCCCTGCCGCCGACCCCGGAAGCAAGTATGGTGGATTAGCTACATTTGGTTACTTGTTGAAGCAGGGAAATCTTGGTACCAACCTAAGAAATATATCAAAGTGATTGCGTAGCGCAGGCTCCGCCGGCGTCACGTCAAAAGTCGCCGGAGTATGTATACGCGTGTCCTTTTTGTAACGGGGAGGTAACTTCCTCCATAGCTTCTGGAAACATTAATCACCGTCACGTTTGTGGGAAGCAGTTCCGTGTCGAAAACGGTAGCCTCCGTCCGACCATGCGGTATGCGCACACATGCCCAACTTGCGGAACTTGTGTCCACAGCAGCAAAGAAGCGGGGCGAATTCAGAGCAAGCATAAACAACCGAATGGTCGCGCGTGCCCGCAGACAGAGTGGCAAACGAGCTGAGGAATAAGGTGCAGTTTCCTTCAGCGCCCAGTTTTTGTTCTACTTGTTCTTCTTCTTGTTGCTGTTGTTGTTGCTGTTGCTGTTGCTGTTGTTGTTGTTGTTGTTGTTGTTGTTGTTGTTGTTGTTGTTGTTGTTGGTGTTGGTGTTGGTGTTGGTGTTGTTGTTGTTGTTCTTGTTCTTGTTCTTGTTCTTGTTCTTGTTCTTGTTCTTGTTGTTGTTGTTGTTGTTTTTTGTTGTTGTTGTTGTTGTTGTTGGTGTTGGTGTTGGTGTTGGTGTTGGTGTTGTTGTTGTTGCTGCTGCTACTGCTGCTGATGATGAAGAAGTGCTGCGCTGCTCCTGCTGCGGCTGCGGCTGCTGTTGATCCTGTTGCTCCTGTTGCTGCTGCTGCTCTTCCTCCCGAAGCTCAAAACGCGCCCTGCCGGCCGGACAGGGAAACACAGTGGCCCTGAAGGACGGAACAGTGCCAAAATCGAAACCAAAAACTGCCTAAAGTTCCTTCTGAAACCCTAGAAAAACAATAACACAATAGTTTTCGACCATTTTTTGTACCACTTTTTGTAAAATGAGACATAGTGAGACATAGAACCCTCCTGCTGCTCCTGTTGCTGCTGCTGCTCTTCCTCCCGAAGCTGAAAACGCACGCTGCCGGACAGGGAAACACAGTGGCCCTGAAGGACGGAACAGCGCCAAAATCGAACCCCAAAACTGCCTAACGTCCCTTCTGAAACGCTACGTAGAAAAACAATAGTTTTCGACCATTTTTTGTACCGCTGTTTGTACAATGACACATAGTGAGACATAGAACCCTCCTGCTGCTTCTGTTGCTGCTGCTGCTCTTCCTCCCGAAGCTGAGAACGCACGCTGCCGGACAGGGAAACACAGTGGCCCTGAAGGACGGAACGGCGCCAAAATCGAGCCCAAAAACTGCCTAACGTCCCTTCTGAAACCCTAGAAAAACAATAAACAATAGTTTTCGACCATTTTTTGTACCGCTGTTTGTACAATGAGACATAGTGAGACATAGAACCCTCCTGCTGCTCCTGTTGCTGCTGCTGCTCTTCCTCCCGAAGCTGAAAACGCACGCTGCCGGACAGGGAAACACAGTGGCCCTGAAGGACGGAACAGCGCCAAAATCGAGCCCAAAAACTGCCTAACGTCCCTTCTGAAACCCTAGAAAAACAATAGTTTTCGACCAGTTTTTGTACCGCTGTTTGTACAATGAGACATAGTGAGACATAGAACCCTCCTGCTGCTCCTGTTGCTGCTGCTGCTCTTCCTCCCGAAGCTGAGAACGGACGCTGCCGGACAGGGAAACACAGTGGCCCTGAAGGACGGAACAGCGCCAAAATCGAGCCCAAAAACTGCCTAACGTCCCTTCTGAAACCCTAGAAAAACAATAGTTTTCGACCATTTTTTGTACCGCTGTTTGCACAATGAGACATAGTGAGACATAGAACCCTCCTGCTGCTCCTGTTGCTGCTGCTGCTCTTCCTCCCGAAGCTGAAAACGCACGCTGCCGGACAGGGAAACACAGTGGCCCTGAAGGACGGAACAGCGCCAAAATCGAGCCCAAAAACTGCCTAACGTCCCTTCTGAGACCCTAGAAAAACAATAGTTTTCGACCAGTTTTTGTACCGCTGTTTGTACAATGAGACATAGTGAGACATAGAACCCTCCTGCTGCTCCTGTTGCTGCTGCTGCTCTTCCTCCCGAAGCTGAAAACGCACGCTGCCGGACAGGGAAACACAGTGGCCCTGAAGGACGGAACGGCGCCAAAATCGAGCCCAAAAACTGCCTAACGTCCCTTCTGAAACCCTAGAAAAACAATAGTTTTCGACCATTTTTTGTACCGCTGTTTGTACAATGAGACATAGTGAGACATAGAACCCTCCTGCTGCTCCTGTTGCTGCTGCTGCTCTTCCTCCCGAAGCTGAAAACGCACGCTGCCGGACAGGGAAACACAGTGGCCCTGAAGGACGGAACGGCGCCAAAATCGAACCCAAAAACTGCCTAACGTCCCTTCTGAAACCCTAGAAAAACAATAGTTTTCGACCAGTTTTTGTACCGCTGTTTGCACAATGAGACATAGTGAGACATAGAACCCTCCTGCTGCTCCTGTTGCTGCTGCTGCTCTTCCTCCCGAAACTGAAAACGCACGCTGCCGGACAGGGAAACACAGTGGCCCTGAAGGACGGAACGGCGCCAAAATCGAGCCCCAAAAAAACGTCCCTTCTGAAACCCTAGAAAAACAATAGTTTTCGACCATTTTTTGTACCGCTGTTTGTACAATGAGACATAGTGAGACATAGAACCCTCCTGCTGCTCCTGTTGCTGCTGCTGCTCTTCCTCCCGAAGCTGAAAACGTACGCTGCCGGACAGGGAAACACAGTGGCCCTGAAGACGGAACGGCGCCAAAATCGAGCCCAAAAACTGCCTAACGTCCCTTCTGAAACCCTAGAAAAACAATAGTTTTCGACCATTTTTTGTACCGCTGTTTGTACAATGAGACATAGTGAGACATAGAACCCTCCTGCTGCTCCTGTTGCTGCTGCTGCTCTTCCTCCCGAAGCTGAAAAAGCACGCTGCCGGACAGGGAAACACAGTGGCTCTGAAGGACGGAACGGCGCCAAAATCGAGCCCCAAAACTGCCTAACGTCCCTTCTGAAACCCTAGAAAAACAATAGTTTTCGACCATTTTTTGTACCGCTGTTTGTACAATGAGACATAGTGAGACAGAGAACCCTCCTGCTGCTCCTGTTGCTGCTGCTGCTCTTCCTCCCGAAGCTGAAAACGTACGCTGCCGGACAGGGAAACACAGTGGCCCTGAAAGACGGAACGGCGCCAAAATCGAGCCCCAAAACTGCCTAATGTCCCTTCTGAAACCCTAGAAAAACAATAGTTTTCGACTATTTTTTGTACCGCTGTTTGTACAATGAGACATAGTGAGACATAGAACCCTCCTGCTGCTCCTGTTGCTGCTGCTGCTCTTCCTCCCGAAGCTGAAAACGCACGCTGCCGGACAGGGAAACACAGTGGCCCTGAAGGACGGAACGGCGCCAAAATCGAGCCCCAAAACTGCCTAACGTCCCTTCTGAAACCCTAGAAAAACAATAGTTTTCGACTATTTTTTGTACCGCTGTTTGTACAATGAGACATAGTGAGACATAGAACCCTCCTGCTGCTCCTGTTGCTGCTGCTGCTCTTCCTCCCGAAGCTGAAAACGCACACTGCCGGACAGGGAAACACAGTGGCCCTGAAGGACGGAACAGCGCCAAAATCGAGCCCAAAAACTGCCTAACGCCCCTTCTGAAACCCTAGAAAAACAATAGTTTTCGACCATTTTTTGTACCGCTGTTTGTACATTAATGAGACATAGTGAGACATAGAACCCTCCTGCTGCTCCTGTTGCTGCTGCTGCTCTTCCTCCCGAAGCTGAAAACGCACGCTGCCGGACAGGGAAACACAGTGGCCCTGAAGGACGGAACGGCGCCAAAATCGAACCCAAAAACTGCCTAACGTCCATTCTGAAACCCTAGAAAAACAATAGTTTTCGACCATTTTTTGTACCGCTGTTTGTACATTAATGAGACATAGTGAGACATAGAACCCTCCTGCTGTTGCTGTTGCTGCTGCTGCTCTTCCTCCCGAAGCTGAAAAAGCACGCTGCCGGACAGGGAAACACAGTGGCCCTGAAGGACGGAACGGCGCCAAAATCGAGCCCCAAAACTGCCTAACGTCCCTTCTGAAACCCTAGAAAAACAATAGTTTTCGACCATCTTTTGTACCGCTGTTTGTACAATGAGACATAGTGAGACAGAGAACCCTCCTGCTGCTCCTGTTGCTGCTGCTGCTCTTCCTCCCGAAGCTGAAAACGCACGCTGCCGGACAGGGAAACACAGTGGCCCTGAAAGACGGAACGGCGCCAAAATCGAACCCCAAAACTGCCTAACGTCCCTTCTGAAACCCTAGAAAAACAATAGTTTTCGACCATTTTTTGTACCGCTGTTTGTACAATGAGACATAGTGAGACATAGAACCCTCCTGCTGCTCCTGTTGCTGCTGCTGCTCTTCCTCCCGAAGCTGAAAACGCACGCTGCCGGACAGGGAAACACAGTGGCCCTGAAGGACGGAACGGCGCCAAAATCGAGCCCCAAAACTGCCTAACGTCCCTTCTGAAACCCATAGAAAATGATGCTTTTGGCTCCTTTTTCCTCTTGCTGCTGCCATGAATTTTATCTACCTTTACATCCGGTCCCCAAATAGGAAAAGACAATGAAAAAAATCACCTCCCGGGGGCGAAACACCATGCCTCTGAAGGACGGAGAAGCCCCAAAATTGCACCCCGAAAATGCCTAACGTAACTTCTGAAACCCATAGAAAATGATGCTTTTGTCTCCTTTTTCCTCTTGCTGCTGCTATGAATTTTAGCTACCTTTACATCCGGTCCCCAAATAGGAAAACACCATGGAAAAAATCACCTCCCGGGGGCGAAACACCATGCCTCTGAAGGACGGAGAAGCCCCAAAATTGCAACCCATAGACAATGATGCTTTTGGCTCCTTTTTCCTCTTGCTGCTGCCATGAACAGTAGCTACCTAAACATCCGGTCCCCAAATAGGAAAACACCATGGAAAAAAATCACCTCCCGGGGGCGAAACACCATGCCTCTGAAGGACGGAGAAGCCCCAAAATTGCACCCCCAAAATGCCTAACGTAACTTCTGAAACCCATAGAAAATGATGATTTTGGCGGCTTTTTCCTCTTGCTGCTGCTATGAATATGAAGTTTGGCTACCTTTAAATAGTAGTAGTAGTAGTAGTAGTAGTAGTAGTAGTAGTAGTAGTAGTCCGAAACAAGAGTCAAAAGTATTATTCCCTGGCGCGCTCCCCCTTGCGTCTGCCGGGGTCGGCGGATAGTTTTATCCCCCTATGAAGCCTAGTTGACTGCTATATTACTTCCCATGTTCAGAGAAATTCCGCTAAATCCAACCAGACGGGAAGCCGATTTTTTTGGATGCTTTTGGAGATGGTCGCCAATCATGCAATGTGGGCCCCCCCAGTGATGTTTGTTGGTTTACAAAAGCCCCAGTAACTATAGTTATAAATACCATAAACCATAGTGACATTGGAGTTTTTTGAACCAACTTAGCTATCGTAAACGGGGGCCCCACATTGTAGGTAAACTCTTGAATTTTCGCACATGTCACAATTCGGTTGGGTTCGCAGTCCCGTTGTGGCGGTGAAATCGTCCCTATAAGGTGCATCACCTAAAAATCATGGTATCCCATGAAAAATCACCATGAAAATCATCATCTTCCCTATGTTCATGGGGATATTCCCGATATTACCCTCTGGTTATGTCAAAATAGCTATAGAAAATCACCATTCATAGTGAATTTCCCCATGAAAAATTGTGATTTTCCATAGTTATGTTAGTTTACCAGAGGGTAAACTACAGGATGGTGCCCCCCCAATTATGTTTGCTGGTTTATAAACCCCATGAACTAGTTCGTTATATCTACCATAAACCATCGCTTTTTCAGCCACAGAAATATCATATCTCAACTGAACGCTATCTCGACTGGTGGCCCCATCCTGTAGGTATATCATTAACATTCCCATTAATGGGTTTATAATGGCATTAAATCCCAATATCCCATCATCAATATCTCATCAATGGTATGATATATCCATCAATGGTATTATCATATGTAACGATGGGAATAGTGGCAGTAATATGATGGGAATCTCCATTGCTGGGGTTACCCTCTGGTAAACTAACAGTTTGCTATTGAAAATGGCCATAGAAATAGTTGATTTACCCATTGAAAATTGTGATTTGCTCGTTTCCCCTTCCCGAGCTCACCGAAAATTTCATGTCAACCGCTCAGGAGTCAAATCCAGGCCGCAGGCTTTCCGTCGCCCTCACAGATCCAACAGCATCTCGGCTGAGCTTTGAAAAAAGGGCGCTCTTCAGTGGCTTGCCATACCACTAGTAACCATATACCCTATGGTAAATAAACAGTTGGACCCTGAAAATCACCCATTTTAGAAACTAATCTTCCAAGCCCGACAACTACCAGGGTCGAACTGTTAATTTAGTAAGCATATAACTGGTATGACTCGGGCCATAACTGTGGTGAGTTGAGGAACTCATGGGATTATCATTAATGTCTATATTAAGCTGGTTGGTGGTTTGGAACCATGGAATTTTATGACTTTCCAGAATATATGGGATAATCATCATCCCATTGACGAAGTCATATTTTTCAGAGGGGTAGGTATACCACCAACCAGTATAATTCTTCAAAAACATGAGATCTAAGAAACATAGAGATTTTTTTCGGGGAATTTGTTGGATTTTATAGGATAAAAAGGAAATTTAATGTCCCAATCTTAAGGGGTGAACATATTGGGATTTAAAATCTGGTTGAATTGGGATCTTATATTCCAATTTTGGGTAGTATATTGGGTATAAAACATCACCTTTTCACTTAGCTATTTGCAGGGACTCTTCGGGCTGATTGATGACGATTAAGATCCATTGTGTAATTATGGCTATATGAATCCAAACAGATGTCACACACTCTGGGCCAACACACGTATATACTCAGCGACATTGTCGTACTGGAGGTTTGTTTTTGACGCATTTTCCGTAATTTGATGCTTGTCCCATGTTCTCTACCATGAGAAATATCCCGTACCCAAACATGGCATGCTTTTTCAGATGTCCCATTTAGGAATCATATTTCGTTCGATGGTTTTACCATTGAAAGCTCCAATTAGTCAATGGCCATTTCAGGATCCTGAATTGGTGGTACCTACCATATATAAGGCCTATGTAAGGCCTATGTAAGGGGATATATACCCACAAAATATGGCCCGAAATATGGTACTAAAGTACCTCCAATTTAGGATCCTGAAGATCTCCCATTGAACTAGAGCAGATTTCCTAGCTTGCAGTTTTTTTTTTTTAATTACCAGAGGGTAACTGGCAGATCCCCGCATCAGTGCCTCGACCAGGTTTACCTGGCCTCTGGCTATGCAAGGCCGAGACGTGATCGGTGTGGCAGCCACCGGGAGCGGAAAGACTCTGGCGTTTCTGCTGCTGGGTCGAATATTAAGAGCTGGGCATACAATTGCTGGGTTGGTGGTTTGGAACCATCCCAAAACTGGCCATGGAAACCATGGGCTTATTGGATTTATAAACCATAATTATTGGATAAACCAATTTTATAAACCCAATACTGGTGTTGGTGGTTTGGAACATTTGTTTTTTTTTCCAGATACTTGGAATTTCTTCATCCCAACTGACGAAGTCCATCATTTATCAGAGGGGTGGCTCAACCACCAACCAGATTGGGATGTATATTACCATTGTGAATCACTATTAACCACTATCAACGATAAATCCAGTGGTAATGGTTTATTGGCCATTATCAACCATTATTTTTTCAGGATTTTAACCATCAGCAATGGAGATCCATGGTAAACCTCATATGTTATCTCCCAAATGTCAATGATTTCATTGGGATGAATATTTTAACCATTGGCAGTGTGGATCCATGCTAAATCCCACGTATTATCCGATGTTTTGTAGGTAAATCCAAAAAATGCATCCTATTTTTCGTCTATGTTTTTCATATTTTTTTAAAGGTAAATCCAGACAAATCCCACATGTTCTTTCATTTCCATCCAATTCTTCCATAGAAATCCTTGGAAATCATGATTTTGTTCCTATTATTCCTAGGTTAAATCCGCATAGATCCCATGGTTTCCCACATTTTGTCCGGGGAATTTCCGGGTTTTCCCAAGGAACCTCCCGGGTCGTTGGCCCGTTGGCCGAGGCTGCCAGCCTTCACCGACATGTTGACGCGCGGCGTGGGCGCCGCCAGCGGCGAGCCCTCGCTGCTGGTGATCGCGCCCACCCGCGAATTGGCGATTCAAATCCAGGAGGAATCGGATAAGTGGCTTGCCAGAAAGGTGGGTGAATCATGGTTCATATGGATGTGGGTCAAAATGGAAGACCGGACCACAGATGTTAGTCGAGTTTAGTATTAACCATCCAATTGTTGGGGTACCTAATTTTGACCCATGATATATATAGTTTATCACATTTAATATGGGATATGGATGGATATGGTTGAGTTTATACAGTGTAAGAATAAATGGATATTGTTGGGATATCTACTATGAATGGGATATTAATGGAATATTTGAGAAAGGTTGGTGAGTCATAGCTGGTTTGTGGTTTGGAACTTTTGGATTATTTTCCCCAATAGTTGGAATGATGATCCAATCTGACTTTCATATTTTTCAAGATGGTTGAACCTACCAACCAGATAGTTTTCAATAACCAATAACTCAATAATGGTCAACCAAGAAAGTTTGGGTAACCAGTTAATGATGGGTTATTCTTAATTCATGTTAATACTTAATAATAATATGTCCTGATGATTGGTAACTATAGTTAATTCTCTTAAACATTTGGATGAATATAATGGCGATAGTGGGGATTGTTATGCAATTATTTACTATGTAAGTGGCTTGATCTGAAGACAATGAGATCGTATAAGTTGGGTTAAGGAACTATGGGTATGGGATCTCATTGGGATTCTGATGGTGATTTGGGAATATTTGGGAATCGGATAAGTGGCTTGCCAGAAAGGTTGGGTAATCATAGTTAATCATATAGTTAATACAGTGTAATGGTTACATATTGTTGGGATATCTACTATGAATGGGATATTAATGTGAACTGTGGGATATCAATTACCGGGTACCAATGGAAATTTCAACATTTGACAATCCGATTATTGCGGCTTGTCAAACAGCTCATTAAAAATCATACTTAATCATAGATAATACCACGTGTAATTATACATTAGATACATGTATTTATGGATAATATTAAACCATACTTAGGGATTTTTTTGTACATCGGATTGTTGTTGCTCACTCCAAAGGGCTGCTGCGAAATGAGTGATGAGTATTGTATGAATGTTGTTACCCTCTGGTAATTTAACATAGCTATTGAAAATGGCCATAGAAATAGTGAATTTTCCCATGACACATTGTGATTTTCCATAGTTGTTTGTTAACGTTTACCAGAGGGTAAGTTGGCTTATAATTTTATAAACCATTACAATCCCCATTATCTAGTTCGTTATATCTACCATAAACCGTAGTTACCACCAACCAGCTTATGATAACATTAACTGAGTGAATCGGCATATTGAATGGTTGATATCAATGGTTGCTATCACCGGATGAATGGTTGACGTGGTTGGGGTGAAACCCCAACAATCCGACGAATGGTAATACGGTAAGGTGTCATGTATTTTTTGGATGGTTGTTTTTTGCTAGTATCTGTGAAAAATTGCCACTTACCACAAAGGAAATAAGTCGCTTGCAATTATAGCCACCATATTAGTTCGGTGGCTATTTATGAGTTGTAGTGATAGTGGTGAATATATGGTGGTTTCCTAAAATAGGGGTACCCCAAATCACCCAAGTCATTATAGCATTTTAGTATTGAAACAACTATGCAGTTATGGCCATGGCTATTAGTTATAACTGGTTATTTCTATGGGATGATACATTCTATGGGGTTAGTTCAGTACAAACATAACTGGTATTTTCCTCGGGCCATAGCTGCAATAACCATCAATATCCCATTATGAGCCATTAATATCCCATTCTAAACCCTTGATATCTCATTCTAAAACCATTGGTGACTTGGGGTACCCTTACTTTAGGAACCTCCAAAAAACTTGCTGTTTTCCCAGTTCTGATGGCCTGGAAGTGGCCAGGTTCGGCCGTGGTGCCGGCATCCGTACCGTGTGCTGCTATGGCGGTGCGCCAAAGCCGCCACAGGCTGCCGAAGGGCCAAAGAAAAAACACATCCCAGCGAGTTCTGGTGTTTTTTTTTAAACAATTGCATAACCCATGTTACAACCCATATATACAGTATATAACGGTGTATTAATATATATATATATATAAAAATGATATAATATATATATATGTATGTAACCTATTTTTGAAATCCTATATATATATATATATGTATCTGGTGAAATGATAGTGACTTCCCGACCCTGGAATCGTGGTATCATGGTTCGGATTAGGGGGATCATCCCGATCAAGAATCACTTAAAACAAGATCAGATTAAATTGGTTATATATGGCTATGGATCAATACCTATTAATACCATTTTTAGTGGGATGAACATCCATTTACCGGCTATTTTGATGTTCACCAGGGGTACAAGGTTTTGACACACTGCCATATCCCATCATATGCCAATGTTATCGCCTTTTTTTCCCTTTTCTTGGATTAGTGGCTGGTTAATCCCATGGAATCGCAGCATATTTTGCCACAAAACTATGGTTATATTTGTTGGCGAATGTTGGTTATGGTACTCTGTGATCTCATATGATCCCCATTCTATATCCATAGGTTTATACCATGTCCTTCATTTTTCCCACAATAGCTCATTGGGTAAGACCATGAAATCCCTTTAAATCCCTATGAACCCCCATTAAATCCCATTAATCCCTATTAAGTCCCTATTAAATCCTATTAAATCCCTATTAAACCCTATTAATTCCTTATTAAATCCCACATTCCCATGATACTTTTCCCACATTCTCTACATTTTCACGTGCCCGTTTGAAAACCAGACCGGCCAGGCGGAACAGATTCGCATGGGCGTCCATGGCGTGGTGGGAACACCAGGCAAAGCGGGGTGAAGTGTTTATCATGGGTATAGTTTACCCTCTGATGGTTTATAGCATTGGGGTATCCACTTGTTGGGGAATCGATTAGGTTCTTCAAGCGAATCCCAGCAAGAAAGAACTAGTAGAACAATGGGATACAAGGGGGAGATCAACAGTGGGGGTGGGGATATAAATATGTATATATATATATATGTTTCAAGATTGTTAAAACCACCAACCAGTATAGGAACATTGTATTATAATCATGTATTAGAATCATGTGGGAATGATAAGTATGATATTATGATTATATATATATATATATTGTTGGTTTATACCACCCATCAAAATGGTGAATATGGGAATGGTTTATGGCATTGTTTTAAACACATTACTACTACTGGTTGGTGGTTTGGAACATGTTCTTTATGACTTTCCATATATTGGGAATAACCATCCCAACTAACTTTCATATTTATCAGAGGGGTAGGTATACCACCAACCAGGTATAGTTTACCCTTTGGTTATTTAACAAAGCCATGGAACATGGCCCATTGATAGATGTTTTGTTGATTATTTACCTATTAAAAATGGCAATGTTCCATGGCTATGTTAAATAACCAAAGGGTAATGATAGTAATATTCCATGAGTGTTTTTTGTTTTTATAATATGTTCCATGGTAATATTCCATGGTTTATATTATTTATTAGTTTTTTGTTATCATGGAACACTGAATACAGTGGGAATAGTGGGTTTATAACATTTTATAACTGTGATAATAACAGCTACAAATCTGGATCTATGGGGATATAATCATATATAATTATAGTCATATAGTTTATGAGGATATATATATATAACTCCCAGTATATCCCATGGTATTATGATGTTTATGATTCCATGTTATGAATACAGTGGGATACAACTGTAATAACAACTAAAACTGGGGATCTACAACTGGGGATATAATCGTGATCAAAATGATCATGATTAGTTCCCCTCCTGCAAACGTTTACATAGACGTGGAGAACCCACTATTTGTAGATAATTTTCCAAACGGGAAATCTGGGGATTTTCCACATAACAGTGTTAGTTTTCAGGAGGGTGCCTGGAAACAACGCATTTTTCGACTGCAAAACTGCGGGATAATCATGGTGGTATAATACGGATATCATGGGAATATTTCATGGATCTACCAACGAGAAATCATCTGTGATTTTACGAGAAATCTTGGGATTTCAGGTGATGGATCTTCATGGGATACATATGGGATACCCTCTGGTAAACTAACATAACTATATGGAAAATCACCATTTCAATAGGTAAATCCACTATTTCGACTGGGCCATTTTCAATAGTTATTTTGACATAACCAGAGGCCAGAGGGTACATTCATGGGATATTCAGAAGGATGGTCCCATGGTCCATCCATGGGATACCCGGCCTGGTAATTTGTTACACGGCGAACGAACTGGATATTGTGGTGATATCTACTATGAATGGGATATGAACATGGGATATTTTCACCAGAAAGGTTGGTGAATCATAGTCTGATGATGTCTGATGCCCATAGAAATCGTTGATTTACCGAACTGATAGCATGGTGGATCTTTCCAGTTCGCAAGCTGTAAACGTTTACCAGAGGGTAAATACCATGTCTGGTTGGTGGTTTGGAATGGTTTGGAACATGAATTTTATTTTTCCATATATTGGGAATAATCATCCCAACTGACTTTCATATTTTGCAGAGGGGTTGAAACCACCAACCAGTATTATCAACTGTCATTTACAAGGTGGTGCACCAATTTAGATCCGCGAAGTTGGTTCCAAACAACTTTCGTTACGAGAGATACCTAAAGATAATGGCGGTTATAAACCCACTGGCGGGGCACCAGCTTGGGGAAGACATACCGGGAACCCGGATGAACCAATGATTTTGGGGGTACGGAAAGATTGGAAAGCACCAATTAATGATCATACCCAAATCTGATACCCTCTGGTAATTTAACATATAGCTATTGAAAATTGCCATTTAGTTCGTTGATTTACCCATTAAAAATGGTGATTTTCCACAGTTATGTTAGTTTACCAGAGGGTACTCAAAATGTCCATAAAATTGTCCGGATATAAGAACACATCAGATTATAGATGAACAACCGGATATCTTAGATGGGGATATCTTTGATGCAGTTTCTCCTTTCATATCCTATCTCAGTAGTTTTTTGTTTCACAGATCTGGCGCATAATTAGTCGGACCCAAAAAGAAGCAAAGCTCATAGTGGTCCAACTTGTCGATTTGGAAGCCCAGTCTTGAGTTATGACCATAGTTCCAGTCATGGTGTCGAGATCCCGGCATGCTTTCCCTTGCTATTTCTAGAGGCCGCATTCAAGATTTTTGTGAGGGAGGGCAACTGCGTATCTCGGCCATCGATTCTTTCGGCGAATCGGGAGTGACGAAACTTGAGACGGGCCATCCCTTCCCACTAACTTAAGCCAAGAAACGTCCAATTTTGGAGGGTTTAGTAAACAATCCATTTCCTGTGATATTGGGGATGGTTTATGAAAAATTGGGTTTACCAAATTTAATCAAATTGTGTTTTCCCAGAAAGCCTGGTGTCATTCGCACTGAAAAGCCGGAGGAAGTCATTGATGGGTCCATTACGAATGGACCGGCGGATTGCAGCTACTAATTAATGGCTGGTTTTGCTGGACCCACTAAGGATTCTCATCAAAACCCGGTGAAAGATTCTTAGTTTTTTTTGGTTTATTAGTGGAATTTCCACAAAAAATCAGGAATTCCTCCAAAAAACATTGAATTAGTGGAAACCATCCAGTTTTTTGAGGAAATTTCCACTAATTTTTGAGGAAGTCCTCTGTTTTTGTTTTTTTTTGGGATGATGAACAAACCATCCAGGACTCCAGGACACATCAGACATGTCGTGCACCGCAACGGTTGCGAGCAATTTCTTTGATCCTCCCCAGGACGTAAATCCCCCAGGTGGGCAAAGATGTTTTCAGTTGCAGATTGTTGAGAAAAAAAAGTAGTTTACCCTCTGGTAATCTCATATAACACTGGAACATCACCATTAAAACAGTAAAATACAAGGTAAATCATGTGGTAGCTATGCAGTTTTTTGCATAGCTATGGTAAATTATCAAAGGATATATGATTGTATAATATTTTATGATATTTTATGTATATAATTATGATAATAGTAGCCTAAAAGATAGGCAACGATTCAATTTACTCACCGTTTCAGTAGAACGTGTTTGATTCTATCGTTTTTATTCTTTTTTGGGTTGCTATCATTGCTATAATGTCACGTGCATCTATTTCTATGTTTGTTTGAGAAAAAAACACTATAAGTATATGTGTCCTACGGTCCAAAATCTGGATCACTATAGCCCGGAATTGATTTAAGGTCGACTTTGCCCGACACCGCGCCGCATTTAAATGTCAGAAACGTTTTGTTCAATCCAAACACCCTTCAATCACCTAGTGAAATCTGTAATGTTTGGTAGTTAGTTATTGAACACATCAGATGATATCTATATACCGCAAAAGGACAAATGTTTAAAAGTCAGTCCAATCTTACAAAAAAGAAAGTAAACCCCCGGGTCCTCCTCAAGAAAATCGTACTAAAACAGATTGGTATTGGTATTGGTATGTATTGGTACATAATGATTCATTGTTTAGCCCAGGTATATATATATACACACCCTATATATCCCTATATTCAGAATATAAACATACATAAGCTATATATAGATTTGGTACATAATGAATATACACATACATAAACTATATACTGGTTGGTGGTTTGGAACATTTGGCTCATTTTTCCATATATTGGGAATGTCATCATCCCAACTGACTTTCATATTTTTCAAGATGGGTAGGTATACCACCAACCAGTATAGGAATATTATAAGAAATGTTTTGTAATCATGTGGGATATATCGATATAGATAGATTTTACCTACCCTCTGGTTCTTTAACATAGCGAACTGGAAAATGGCCCATAGAAACAGATGATTTTCCCAGCTAGAAACCTCCATTTATAATGGATTTTCCATAGCTATGTTAAATGACCAGCTAAGTTGGTTTATAAGTCCAATAACTAGGGTTTATAGGGGGTTATATCTATAGTTAATGGGGATTATAAACCAACTTATAACTGGGGGGGCACCACCTTGTAGGTTTCACCTACTTCGTTGCATCTTTTTCGCTTCGCTGCATCTAGCCACAGGGCCAAACCGATCGCCAAATTCCGATCCCAGGTTTAGGACGCGTGATGAAACTGACGCTGGATGAGGTTCTCGGTGCAGAGAAATGCGAGAAACCGGTGCCCCCGGAAACGGAATCGCAAAGGAAAGCCATCAGAAGACCATAGGAACATGTGGGTTTCATGGGATTTATAGCTTATTTGTGATAGCTAAAACATGCTAAAACTAAGTTGGGGGCCACATAACTCCAATTACTTGCGATGGTTTTTGTTGGTGATATATCGAACGAGTCACGTTTTCATGGGGTGAATCTAAACCATTCTAAACATGTCACGAACTTGGGGAGCACCACCTTGTAGGGGATTTAATCACCACTTAAAGTGGAGAGGGTTCAATGGGTTTATTGGGGGCTAACTCGGGAATTTCATAACTGGGCTAAATCAGATTTCATGGGGGTTTCATGGATTTCATGGGGGGTTTTTCGTACTGGCCTTGTCGTTGAGCTTGGGATAAAATTTCCTGTGATATCACGTGGGAATGCGACAAAGTGGGATTCGCCACTTTCATAGTAAATGAGGTTAATCATCGGATTTTTTGAGGTTAGCCAGAGTTCGCCAGACTATTTTTCGGCTGGAGCACCAGGTGGAGGTTTTTTGGATGAGATAGGATGAGATGTGGGGAAAAACTGCGGGGAAAACCGGGAAACATTCTGAATTTACAGTGGTTTCATGATCGAGAGACAGTGGTTTCGTGCAGAATTTGTGTCATGTCGTCCCCCTTTTTTTGATCCATACTGTGGATGGTTGCGAAATCCTGCACGGTTGAAACCCGATGAACAATGGAATAAACCATCTATCAACTGGTGCAGGATTTCGCAATCATCCACCATAGTCCATGGAACTGCGAAAATGAACTCTTTAGTGAAATGACTAAGAACTATAAAGATTCAAATCCCAGTTTTGGTGTTGAACATGGACCCAGTAATATACAAATATATATATATTATATATATATATTAAATACGACCGTACTTGGGGGTTGCATCCCAATTGGTATCAATTTTCGTAATTGGCTGATAAGCCATATATAAACCATTAATATACCAATTTTTCGGTTATAGCCAGGTTATAGCCATATACCTATTATACTTATAGGTTATTTCCCATATGTATATCCTGGACGTTTTTTAAAACGAAGTCACCACCCGTATGTCACCTTAAAAAAATCCCATGAAAAGTCACCGTTTCCACCATTCTTCTATATGATTGTTCAGATCTTCTCCACCATAATACCATACTGGTTGGTGGTTTCAAACATGATTTTCATTTTTCCATATATATGGGAATGTCATCATCCCAACTGACTCATATTTTTCAGAGGGGTAGGTATACCACCAACTTTGGATTTTACCCTTGGTAATCTAACATAACACTGGAACATCACCATTAAAATACAAGGTAAATCATAGTTCCTATCGCATGTTTAAAGCCATATTTTTCACCATCCCATATGCACCATGTATGGAATATTTACCAACATTTATATACCCCATAAATCACCCAGTTTTGTAGGTAAATATACCAGCATCATGGTTTGCATTTGGGCATAATACCCATTTACTATGGCATAGACATAGTTGATTTACCCATTAAAAGCGGTGGATCTTTCCATAGTTATGTGGCTGTTTACCAGAGGCTCATGAAATAATCCCCATGAACTAGTTCGTGAAATATCTACCATTTTTACCGTAGTGAAACTACCAACCAGTTCGTGGCATGAACCGTGGCCGATTTTGCCATTTTAAATCGTGCCGCAGATCGCATCCCATCGCAACAGGGATCCCCCAGAGCGCTCCAAGCTCCCCCCCGAGCTCCACTCCAGGCAGATCGCATGTTGGATATGGGTTTCGAACCGCAGATTCGGAAGATCCTGCAGATGATTCCAAGGCCGGTGACATGGAAATGTTATGTAAGTGGTGACTGAAAAACTGCTTGGTGGTTTCAAACATTTGAATTATTGCCCATTTCAAACATAGGCCGGCCGTTTTGTGATATGGTGCCATGGTGACTATGGTGACATGGTGACTGAAAATCACTGCTTGGTGGTGACTACCTAAACTGCTTGACCCACATTAATGATTATGAAACCCATATTCTATAACCATTATCAACCATTAACTGCTTGGTGGTTTCAAACATTTGGATTATTGTCCATTTCATATATGGGATAATCCCAACCCCATTGACTTTCATATTTTTCAAGATGGTTATTGCACCACCAACCAGAAAAAATGCCAGCTGGAATTGCTGAAGATGAATTAGTTCTTAGTTTTTCTTGTTTCCAAATGTCTTTATTACTATATAATATGTATAATCTGGGTCATGGTGACCTCACGTCGTGACGTCACCGGAACGATGGTGAATGTTTTATGGCAATCATCCCCAAATGGTCGTGTGACAACAGCTATCATCCGGTGAGTGGATTTCATACTTCAGCCAGAATCTGCAGCCAGAAGAATGTGGCTGTATAAAATAGCCACTAGACTAAGACGGTTCTAACCAAAGCGGGTTACTTTTCCGTAAAATTTCCCAGCTTAACTAGAAACCATGGAAACAGGATGCTTCAAGTGCAAACCATTTGAGAATATTTGAGTTATAAGATGACCTGGATGTGCCGACGTTATAAGATTTATAAGTATAATATGACACAGTTGTAGTTTAACCACCTGGATAGTTAGCTAAGTTGGTGTATAATTACAATAAGACTTGGTTTTACAGCGGATATATCGAACTAGTCCATGGGGGGTTATAAACCAACGAACACAACGGGGGGGGGCCACCACCTTGTGGATACTTACCACAGTTTCTGAGTTGTTATTAGCTCAATGGGAATTTGAGGATCCTAAAATGGAGGTATGTAAACGTACCATATTTTGGGCCATTTTTTGGGGGGGAGATTCCCTGAAATTTAGGCCTTATATAATATAGGCCTTATATATGGAATCGGTACCTCCAATGTAGGGATAACCCCACTGAATGGTTGATGGGGTAGATCCCAAGGGGTGTTTCAATGAATGTCAGTTCCTCAACACGAATATGAATATGAGATTACACAAAATGTATGAATATAGTGATGTTGAACTGTTGGGTAACTTGTTTTGACACAGAAAGTGGGATTTATGTACTGTATTTGTTAGCAGAAAAAAGGGACTTGGCTGAAGCCTCCCTGAATGTTGATATTCCATGCAAGGCTATTCACCCAATCAAATCCTAGAAACTAGGGTAAGATCCGTGGGGAATCCACGTGTTACACATTTATCGACGATTTTCCCAGTAAGATACCATCAGTTATGGCCCGAGTCATACCAGCTATGTTTGTACTGAACTAACCCCATATATAGAATGTATATGAATGTATAATCCCATAGAACCAGCTATACCAGCTATAACTATAACTGTTTTAGCCTTTTAGCCATGGCCTTCCACCTGGCTGGCTTTCCATCGCCTGTCTCGCCGGAGGCAACGCCAGACCTTGTTCTTTACTGCCACGTGGCCCCAGAGTGTGCGGCGACTCGCGGCTGAGCATCTGGGCGGAATGGTGGGAGGGTTTCATCGCTATGGTGCTGAGCTGAAAAGAAGTGGATTTCACCAAGAAAAGACATGGAATACCCTCCGGTAACTTAACATAGCCATTGAAAATGGCCATTTATAGTGAGTTTTCCTATTAAAAATGGTGATTTTCCATAGTTATGTTAGTTTACCAGAGGGTAGATTGGAATGGTGGGATATGATTTTAGGAAATAATAGGGAGATGATGGCATATAATAGGACTTAACAAAGACTTGATTTTCGGAGTCGAGGTTTTATTTCTTTTCCAATGGAAAATCCACTACTTGGGGAATCGATTAAGGGGGTTTCCTCAAGCGAATCCCAGCAAGAAAGAACTAGTAGAACAATGGGATACAAGGGGGAGATCAACAGTGGGGGTGGGGAAATAAATATGTGTATATTGATGGTTTATACCACCCATTTATGGTGAATGTGGGAATGGTTTATTATTGGTTTAACCACATTATTACTACTGGTTGGTGGTTTGGAACAGGAATTTTTACTTTTCCATATATATAGGGAATAATAATCCCAACTGACTTTCATATTTTTCAAGATGGTTGAAACCACCGACCAGTTTTGATTTGCGGAATTACATGAAATTACAGCATGCAATTGAACATGAGTGATTTGATGCGTTGTTTTTTGTTTTCCCACCCCTGTCTTGGATGAGTTTGTGCTTCACACCAAAAATAATAACAACAATGTTCAAACATATTCAAGCCACAAACCAGATCTCTCCTCCGCTAATCAAACATGACACTGGAAAATATAGATACATATCCCAGAGGATCCATGTATGGAATATTTACCTACATTGACCCCTAAAGAATTTAAAATAATCCCAATGTAGGTAAATATTCCATACATGGATCCTATGGGTCTATTATTCAGATTAATTATGTTTTGCAACTTTTGATTTTCCACTGAAAGATGTTAGGTTACGGCAAAGCTTCAGAGGGTATATCACCGCACTTATAAACTCTTTAAATCCCCATTGGTGTTACTTCAATCACCATGTTTACGAGTCAAATCACCATTTACATGGTTAAATCATGTTAAACCATATGTATTTCCCAGACCTTCCAAAGGGCTGGTTAAACTTGCATATTCGTATAAAGTTCATCAAAAACCGAAAGCTCTTTTTTTTCTTGGGCCCCGCATTTATATAAATGAAGGTGAAATCCCAATAGGAAAGATGTTGCAGAGTCTTTGTGCATGTTAAAGCTGGAGGGATTTGATGCCTACAAACGGACCAGCCACGCATGTATTTAACACTGGTTGGTGGTTTCGAACATTTGGATTATTTTTCCATATATTGGGAATGTCATCATCCCAACTGACGAAGTCCATCATTTTTCAGAGGGGTAGGCTCAAGCACCAACCAGATGATTAACCATCATTCACCATATAATAACCATATTAACCATATATTAATAGTATGTTAACCATATTAACCATATATTAATAGTATGTTAACCATATTAACCATATTAATATTATATATTAACCATATAATAACCATATTAACCATATTAACCAACCAATGGTAGGTTGGTTGAAACCACCAACCAATTCCCATGTCTTCTCGCCACATTTTTCCCAGTTCCACGATGGCACGGTGAAATCACGGAACAAATTCTGTCGCTGGTGCCCCCCAAACGTCAAAAAAAATGTGATGTTTACCCTCTGGTAATTTGTTACATAGCTATTGAAAATGGCCATAGCTATTGAAAATGGCCATAGCTATTGAAAATGGCCATAGAAAAGTGGATTTACCCATTAAAAATGGTGATTTTCCATAGTTATGTAAACGTTTACCATGGGGTATTGGTTTAGATTCAGCCCATGAAAACGTTAAGTTCGATATATCACCTATATATAAACATCTATAAACTATAAACCATATAGTCATTGGAGTTAAACGTGGCCCCCTGGCCTTAATTAGCGATTCCGTGAATGCGGGGGCACCAGTTCGATTTTCGGATGTTCGGATCGCCTAGTTCTCTGCAGGGCCATCACAAAAAATTCTCGGACGGTGCAACGGGACCCATTTTTGTCACCGTTATTTTGAAAAGGAATGTGACAAGTTCAAGGTGTACCTTGACCCATATGCTCCATGGTGCTGGAATATTTACCAACATTTACCACATAAATCACCCAGTTTTGTAGGTAGATATACCATACATGGAGCATTTGGGTGATCTTGAAGTTCAAGATGAATGGAAGGTAGATTTACGGCGGTAGTTTACGGCTTGTCCGACTGGCTTTTCTGGTTTATGTTTAAACTGGCATTTGACAATTGAAGTATTGAAGTATCATTGGGATTTTACCATATTTTACCATATCATATCTTACCATATCTTACCATATTTTACCACAGAACATGTATTTTTGTTCACCAAGTTTGCAGCGCCCCATCTCACCAGGTTCCTCAATGGACCCTACACGGTGACCATTGGAAACCGCGACGAGCTCAAGGGGAACCAGGACGGTTGAACGGAACGGAGCAGTTTTTTGGCCAATGCTATAAGTTAGAGCTGGTTATTTCTATGAGATATATGGTCACTGCAAGTTAACTCTAGTTATGGCCACTTATTACTAATATATATATGGTTATTTCTATGAGATTCTACATTCTATTAGTTACGGTTAGTTCAGTACAAACATGTACAAACAGAAAACTGGTATATTTTCCTGCCAGAACTGTGGTGAATTGAGTTTGTTTTGGGGGTTTATCATACGTCAATATTAATGGATTTAACGGGGATTTTGGGATTTAATGGGATGGAACCTAGTTAGTTTGATGTTTTTTGTTCATCAATCAATGTATTGGAATGGGATTTAATCAACCAATGGTTGATGATGGTTGAGGACTGTTGCTAAATTGCTTTTAATGTATATATATATATATTATATTATATATTATATGTATTATGGCAATATAATGGGTGTTTAACAGGGTTTCATGGGATTTAATGAACCAATATAATTGATATATTGGATATCATGGGCTATGATTGGGATATAACTCACCAACTTAATATTATACTGGTTGGTGGTTTCAAACATTTGGATTATTGTCCATTTCATATATGGGATAATCATCATCCCATTGACTAACTCATATTTTTCCAAAGATGGTTATTGCACCACCAAGCAGTGTAGGAATGTAGGGGCACCACTTCATCCCATTTTAATCATTGAATTACTCCACTTAATTACCCAAAATTGGGATATAATACAACTCAATATACCCAAAATTACTCCAATTAATATTATAGTTGGGTGTGTCTTAATATATGGAGTAATGATTCCCCTGCTAAATCGCAATTTTTGAAGAGGGATCATTTGTTGGAAATCAATGGACACACTATGACCACACCGTATGGCGTTTTGGACTCTGTCGTATCCCAAATTGGTTTTTCTTAGGGATTTAAAACTGGGATTAACCAGTGAATATATGGAAATAAATGGTGATTATTGATGGAATAGAAACTGACAACATGATATATTGGTGTGTCTAAAAATGGGTCATATCACCCCAAGATGGCAATTTCTATATGGATAATGATGATTACCCAACCGATTTAGGGTGGGCTATTTTCGCAAATCCATATGGGTATGACAAAATCGGGGGTGCTGAAGAAAGAATGAACAAAAAATGCGGTCCACATGGTTGCCCATCCGAAGTAGCTTAAACAGGAGTGTTTCCTACATAACTAGATGAACTCATAGAATTGACTGGGAATTGTGTAGTGATTTTATGATGACCTGGTTGGTGGTTTGGAACATTTGGATTATTTTCCATTCAGTTGGGAATGTCATCCCAACTGACGAAATCCATCATTTTTCAGAGGGGTAGGCGAAAAACCACCAACCAGTGAGTGTATGGATATTTTATGGGATTGAAATGGATTTTTCATTGGAAACCATGTATCAAAAACTCTCCTTTTTGAAACCATGGAAAGTCATGGGGGACAAGTTTGCACTCGAGTGACTCGGACCATACAATGGGGCTGCTTAATATGGACGGGGGAATAAATTATTCATCTGCTTGGTGGTTTGGAACATGAATTTTAGGACTTTCCATTTCATCTATGGAATACTCCCAACCCCATTGACGAAGTCCATCATTTTTCAAGATGGCTATTGCACCACCAACCAGATTCTGTATACCATACATATACCATGTGGGTATTACCCTCTGGTAATTTGTTACATAGCTATTGAAAATGAACCAAATTTAGTTATTTAGTTCGTTGATTTACCCATTAAAAAATGGTGATTTTCCACAGTTATGTTAGTTAAATGTTAAACATAGGGGATTTCCTGTTAAACATAGGGGATTCTCAGTGTCAGATTTCCTGGTTAGATGGGTCAGTGACATCAGGTATCTGAAGCTGATCGGTTCAGCTTCAAGCACAGGAAGAGCGGACATGGAAGATTCATTGTTCTCAACGTGATTGTCTTTCTGGTAAACTAACATAGCTATAGAAATCACAATTTTGAATAGGGACATCAACTATAAATTGGGTATTGTCAATAGCTGTGTTAAATTACCAGAGGGTATCCAGAATAACTTGAAGGAAGTTGTTGGGTTTTCAGCACGCACAATCAACGCAACGTCAACTGAACTTTTAAGCTGTGTCGTAAGCATTTATGCTATATTTATTTTTATGAATGCATTGGCATTTGCAGTGCATGAAGTCTCTGATCGTCTCCATCTGAGATTAGCTTCGTCTGTGATCGACTGAAGATGAGATCGGCTTGCGCTTCATTTGTCTTGCAGATGTTGATGTTCTTGACTTGCGAGATTGCACGCTTTCAAGGCCTTGTCGTTTTGGTTTTCTCGAAGGTTTGGTCGAAACATTGATGCCTTGCGGGTAGAACAATCCCCACGGAGGTTTTTTGTGGTGGGCAGACCCACTTGCACATGTGGGTTACCCATGTGGCAAACAGGCAACAAACCCTGCATGACTACGTGCGAGTGGTAGCTTCCGCCATTCTCACGGCGCCAGCACCTCGACGAGAACTGAGATCCACATGCCACATTGGTGTTAGCCTGTGAGTGTCAAGTTGTTTGAACCACTAATGGATTATATCCCACCTAAGATTACATCCCCCAATGGATTGGAAGCCACTTACACCTATTTATACCCCTTCATCGGAGTATCACTATAACCCACAAAAGAAATATGTTAACTATAACTAAACAGTTCGCATCCAGGTACCCTCCGCTACTCAAACATGGCAATTGAAAAAAAAACAATCATAAATACAAGTTTGTACATTATATATGTATAAATATATATATATATATATTAATAAATGCACAGTTGGTATATTAAAAAAAAACCGTATATTTAAATGTAGTTACCGTAAATAATCCGTAAATATAAATAGATGATTTCCCCAAAAAGACATCCTAATGTCGTGCAGGGATTTCCCCTTTGATTTTCTGCAGGACATCACTCAGCAGGTCCTATGCTGCACGCCAAACAATAAGCCGCTTGGCCCGGCTCGCCTAGCGCCAAGAGTTTGCTAGGCATTCGATTAGGTCAGCTATGGGAACGGAAGATATCATACTCTAAGGATCCATGTATGGAATATTTACCTACATTGACCCCTAAAGTAATTTAAAATAATCCCAATGTAGGTAAATATTCCATACATGGATCCTTAGGGATAGATCTATGATGATATATCTGCGTAAATTTCATCACGACCTCACTGTTCTCCCGAAACCTGGAATCATGGTTTAGATATAGGGGAATCATCCCCTTTTATAGCCGAACTGTTCAAGTTGGTGAAATATTGGAAATTTACCCAGATATATCTATAATTCGCTGGGTTTATAAACCAACTGATGTTTGGGGCACAATTTTGGCGGATGTTCTGGATGATGGAGTGATGTTGCTCGGGTAAGGCGTGAACGGAAAACTCATGAAGTAGGGCATGGTGAGACAAAGCAGCAAATATGGGTTTCAAGAAACAAATGGGGATACCCGGCCTGGTAAACAAACAGTTTGCTATTGAACATGGCTATAGACATAGTGGATTTACCCATGAACAAAATGGTGGATCTTTCCATAGTTATGTAAACGTTTACCAGAGGGCTTGGGAATGATTTCTGTTCCCACAACAAGATGGCTCAGCCGGTCAGCTGACCCAGAGACCCTCCGAAGCCTCTGTGGCAGGGACGGGAATCTCATGGAATCGGTACTTTTTGCACGTGCTGCGCACGCGCTGCAGAGATATTTACCGTTGAACAAATGGAAGATCCTGCGCATGTTTAATTTTCTTTGCTTTATCATGTTCATCCAGTCATCCAATTCTGTGATTGATTGAATCATAGTGAATACATGTGAATGAATTTTGCAAGTCTGGAACGTGCACTGGGAACCCTCAAGCTTTACCTGAAACTTAAACTGGTTGGTGGTTTCAAACATATTTTATTTTCCATATATTGGGGATAATCATCCCAACTGACTATATAATATTTTTCAGAGGGGGTGAAACCACCAACCAGATAAACTATAATAGACGGTTTTTAAACAAGGGAATATAGTTGATTTATGATAGGTTAGATATTTATAAGCAGAAACCTACAAGGTGGTGCCCCCGTTCCATAGCTAAGTTGGGGGCCACATAACTCCAATACGCAACTATGGTTTATAGGTGACATATCGAACTAGTTTTCATGGGGTTTGTAAACCAATAAACACAATGTTTGGGGGGCACCACCTTGTATCATAAATAAACTCTATCCCCGTGTTGTTCTTGCTGACATCCCCATTTTGTCGACTAAAAACTGCCCTATTCCTTGAGACTCTTCACATCTCTTCACGAGTCATCGCTCCCAAGGAATATGATCCTCACCGACCTTCTGCGGAAGGCAGTTCCGGTGGATCGAGAACTAGGAAAGATGGTACAGGATGGGGCCCCATAGTTTGCCAAGTTGGTTTATAAATGTTTATAACTAAAATACCCATAGTGTATGATACTTATTATATCTAGATGGCATTATAAACCAACCAACATATCAAGGGGGCCCCATCCTGCAATTCATTTTAGAGATATAATTTATAAAGATTGTGATTATATCTAGATGGATCTAGAGGGTAAATCATTTTAGAGTTGGAGATGTTTGAATCAAGAGAAGCTGAAGATGTTGTTTTGTTTCAAAAACATTCGTTTGGAAATCCCTGGGCGGCTCGTGTTGTTGAAATTCATGGGGATTCAAATGCCAGGCGGATTCCCTGGGAATCCCATGTGCTACCCTGTTTTGTCACTGCAGGACTTTGTCAATGGGAGATCTTCAGGATCCTAAAATGGAGGTAGGTTAGTACCATATTTTTGGCTATATTTTGTGGGGATATTCCCTGAAATTTAGGCCTGAAACATAGGCCTTATATATGGAATCGGTACCTCCAATTGTTATCGGTTCCTGAAATGACCATTGAATTTGGATAGGAAAGCAATGGTGAGGGAAGGCCAGATCACTGGGAAAACTTCGGGGTTGCCTTGGCTGCCCGTGTTGCTTATCGGCAGCCGATAAGGTTCTGTTGCAAAAACAACTGGGATTTATGGTTTCAGAATGTTTCAGATGAATCTACAGTTGAATGGTTTTAGAAAGAAATGTGCATGGTTTCGATCAGTTGAATATATATAATATAATTTATAATTTATAATTATACATACGGTATATATATATATTTGATAGTCAAATACGTATATATATATATAGATGGATAGATAGATAGATAGATTCAGATAGATTGATGGCTTTGTAAATCAATGTTCGGAACTTGGAGAATTTTGGCATAAAGTTGAACATTGAACATTGAAATATAATCGTGGCATCAAGTTGAACATTGATGGTATGTTCTCAACTTAAGGATAATATGGCAGTTGAATGGGCTTATTGTATTTTTTTTAATATACCCTCTGGTAAACTAACAGTTTGCTCTTGAAAATGGCCATAGACATAGTGAGTTTTCCCATGAAACATACTGATCTTCCATAGTTTTTTGTATATTTACCAGGCGGGGTCAACCAACGAACACACGTCACACACCGAGGGGACACCTTTGTCAAAATTTCAACAGGCGGGAGTTGCAGATCGTAGCAATACCAATGCCAAGGGATTGGCCGCTTGGTCGGGATCAATCTATGACTTCGTGGTGATATAATGGGGAATTTACCCTCTGGTAAACTAACATACCCCAATGCTCCATGTATGGTATATTTACCTACAAAACTGGGTGATTTATGATGTAAATGTTGGTAAATATTCCATACATGGAGCATATGGGATAACTATGGGAAAAATACAATCTGTAACAGGTAAATCAACGAATCAAATGGGCAATTTTCTATAGCTATGTTAAATTACCAGAGGGTAATGGGGATTGCCCATTTGGTTTTAAACATTTCATGGTGATATACATTGTTTTTTTTCTATTTTATTGGTGATTTCACAGGAATTTTCATGGTGATTTTTGATCAGAGTTTTAACAGTGGTTTTTGTCATGGGGATTTAGCCAAATCATACGAGTTTTATCGACTGGGAGTATCTGAAAGTGGGTAAAGAAAAAGCACGTATCATGCAGGTCAAGCTACCAAGGTAATTTGCTACATAATACGCAAGAGAATTTGGGATTGGAGCGATACCATTCTGGAGGATCATACAGAGTTCAACAAACAGCATGCAAGAAATCCAACAAACGCGTGAATCTAAGCAAACGACACTGGGTATGGATCAATACCTATTAATACCATTTTTAGGGGAATGACCATCCATTTACCAGCTATTTTGATGTGAACTACAGGGGTACTATTGGTTTTGACACACTGCCACTGGCTTGTAGCAATCGACCAAGCAGTTACGGCCTGAATGGTGTGCGGCACAAGAAGTGTCAGATGACCTTCACCCGCGGGATCAAATTTAGATCACGGTTATGGCCCGAGTCATACCAGTTATAAGTTATAAGTACGTATAACTTCATTTATAGAATGTATAATCCCATTTATAAACTTTATAGAATGTATAATCCCATTTATAAGTCATATAAGTACTGAACTAACCCAGATTTATAGAATGTCTAATCTCGTAGAAATAACCAGTTATAACTAGAAGCCATAGCCTTCCACTGCAGTGGAATGACACCAATCGCAAGCTGGTAATCCAAGCTGGTAACCACCCAAGGTGGTGGCCCCCCCAGCTGTTTGTTGATTTATAAACCCCATTATATAACTATAGATATAGTGCCTCATAGTTAGCTAAGTTGGTTTATGAGTCCAATAACTATGGTTTATGGTAGATATACCAATACTTACTATGGTTTATAAACCAACTTATAACTGGGGGGGGGGCACAACCTTGTATAGATATGGGGGTTTCCATAAATGAGGGATCCCCAATAGCTGAATGATTTATAAGGGAAAATCCTGAAATATAAAATGGATGATGTAGGGGTACCATGAGTTAGGAAACCTCCATACTGCATATATCATGATCACCAATTTCAAGTTATTGCTGTTATTTGCACCAACTTAGCGAACAAAAAAACATGGGGCATCACCTTGTACGGATCTAACTTTGCTTGTGGCTTCACGAAAGATATTGATATTCGTTGTGCGTCTGACAAGATAACTTTCGAATACCCACTCTCCAGAGAACCCAAACCAGCTTTACTTGAAAGAACTTGAAGATGCCTCAAGAAATACAAGGATGCCAGGACATGCCAGTGTCATCTCAATTTTCTCTGAATCAAGGGCATTGTGAACAATCCAGGGAAATATAGCTCAAATGTGGGATATTAATTGCGAAGATGATCTAAATGTAAACTATGCAGTCGAAAGGAAGGAACATGTTATTTTTTTCTGTCTTCGCCTCACTCGGAACCGGATGAAAAAAAAAGTATATATCATGGTTTGTCACCAGCAATGGTGCTATACGATGCTCATCACCATCAATGAGCGGGATGTGCTGCAGTAAGAGATGCAAGTCGGCAAGTCCGGTCAAACCCATGCAATATTAGATGAGTACAAGTTGGATTATCTACCCCACTCAAAGCTAGGCAGTTTTTTTTCAGATAGATATGGACAGTGCAAAACCACGTGCCATAAATTGGCCTTGTTGGAGGCTTGGCAGAGAGGCCGGGGCCTCTACCGATGGCTCGGTTTGACGCTCGAAGCACATCCCAAATGCAACTTGGATGCTGACAACATCTTGTCTGCAGATTTCCCATCCCAAATTGATTTCCATCTTGGGCACAAGATCGAAAGTGCCTGTGTTCGGTGCCCGCCCACGCGTCGTTGCGTTGCCGGAGACGACGTCCGGATGCTGTGGCTCAAATCCCAGCCCATCCCAGGGAGGATGACCGAAACAGATGGGGTTGGAAGACAGATGGTGTTTTCAAATCTGGCTTTGTCTGAAAATTCAGCGAGCAAGGACTTTTTGTGCAGAGCGCGCACGCGATCCAAAGGTATACACTTCTCGATTTGAGCGCCAGTGTCAGAACTCACCACTCTGACACGTAGCCTCGCTGGTTAAGCGCCTTCCTGGCGTCAACTCGAGAACTCAAATTGCTGCGGATATTCGCAGCATTAAAATCAGATCCGGCATTGATTTTGTTTTTTTATCGATAAAAAATGTAAACCCTCCCTCCCACCTCATTTAATGTACACAGGCTTTGGTTTTGGAATATTTCGACGCAAATAATGCAGCAAAGCCTGATCAGTCCGGAATGCAGTCAAAGTGCGTAAGGACTTGTGGGAAGGGAGGTCAAACTCATTGCAAATTTGCCGGCCTAAATTTGCAGTAATGCCACAAATGCCCATCTTTGAAAAGAAGGGGTTAAATCGTAAAATCAAAGCAACCACCTTCGGGGATGAGCAAGGCGAAACAGAAGATTGGAACAAAGAAACCCGACGACTGTACAACATTGAAGGGTTCCGAAAAATCTCCTCAACCATTTGCTTGGGATACCCACACTGGATCAAACGTTCGAAAAACAAAGCTTTGGTGCAATTAAAATCGGCTTCGCAACTGCATGTCACCATGTATCTACAAATCTCAGCGCGAATCCAGGAACTAAAAACGCCCCGGTGGTGGGCCGAATGCACCGGAAGATATCTGAAAAGGTTCGTGGGTTTGAAGTGGGTTTTGCACACAACTCTGTTGTGGGCTCTGGAAATTTCCAAGTCCAAAGCAACAATGGAAGAACAACTCCAAGAAAAAATGGCTTGATAATGAGGAGAACATGCATTGAATTGCTGCACAAACATTTCATGTTCGCCACATTCCAGCGATCCAGCTAAAATGACTACCACGTCGTCCCTGAACCTGCCATAAAAAACGGCATTGGAAATCAAGGGCGCCATCAAGGCATTGCATTCAACAAGCTCATTTGCAGTGATATCACATGCCTCAGACGCGAAACTTAAGCCTTGTCCAACTTTCAGGCAGCGGTAGAGAATTCCATTTGCAGCCACAAACTGGTGCTCCAAAATGATGAAGGCAAGGTCTGCAATGGAGGATGCGTCATTCACACCCTCATGGTTCAAAGCTCTGTAGATAGCAGCAGCCGCTATTTGAGGAGTAGTGCTCGGGTAGAAATCTTTGATGTCACCACACCCAAAAACACACTGCTCAGGAAGCTCGAGAGCTTCTAGTTTAGCAACCAGCTGCTGAGAATTTTTCAGAACAAATTGCAGTTTGGCAACAACCGGCGCCAAACGAATCCGCACATAGTGAGCCATGGGTGTGAGAATGCTGGAAGTGGTAGGAGTGATAACCCTGGGAACTTGAACAGCCTTGTGACTCTTCCATGTCATGCCAACCTCCATCACTTTCCAAGTAGCGCAGACTTGATCCCGCATAAGCTGCGCAGTTGGCCGCGGGGTCAGCATAGGGTCCAAACGATCTAAAATCGGAAGAATGGATTGGGCCAAGCTGCTCCTGTTACACTCAGTCCTAGCAAATTGCTCAGGACATGCGCAAACTGCATCTTTCAAGTCGCCAAAAAGAGTTGCTTTGATGGGAATGAGTGAAGTGCCCTTATCATCTTTGATCACAGTGAAATTGTTAGCTTTCAACCAGTCAAGCGCCATAAAGTCAAAAAAACTGAGATTCGTTGCAGCCTTGAATTTGGCCATGGTCAGCCTGAACCTTTCCCATGCCGTTTTCTCAAAATCGGCAAAAAGTTTCTTAACTTTCAAAGTGCGCTCAGTATCTGGAGGCCACCACTGAGAGGGCATCCTCAATCGCCGAAGCTTCTGTTGCATAGGCGAAACATTCTCATCTAGATGCAGAAAATGGGTTGCACAAAGTAGTTTGCGCTGAAAATCCCTCAGTGCGGAAGCAAAATGCCTCGCAGAGGGAAGTTTCCGGTGCTGGATCACAAACTTTGGGCCTTTGCCGAGGAAGAACAGCACGCAATCAGGAATTGATTTTGGAGGACGGGCAGTCCGAGTCAAGGAATTCAGCTCAAGAGTGCCAGCATTGTGATTCTGTGTAAAATACTGCAATGAAAAATCTAAAGGCTCTTGCTTCAGGGATTGCAGAGCTTCACGGGCCCTGCAAAGAAGAAATTGCTTTCTATTGCCATGCTCCAAGCCGTCAGCCAAACCCCCATGATGACGGCGGATGCGCTGGCATCTTTTCATTGCCAACGCTTCGTTCCTCCTCCTTTGCCTCGCTGCCCGGGGCGTGATGGCCCGCTTGGACCTGGCCCCCAATGATGTTGCCGGCTGCGAGGCGTCAAATTCCTGGATGTCCACTTCGAAGTTGAATGTGACTGCTTTGACTTGTGCTTCCCTTGGCCTTTGGAACGGCTCCTCATCCTTCCACCCCTGCTGGAGTTGCGCGAAAAACCCTTCTTGCCTTTGCCCTTCCCTTTGCCCTTGCCTTTGCCTTTTGTCGACTGGGATCTCGGCTTCTGGGATTTGGTGCTCGGTTCTCTGGATCTACCAATTCCCTTGCCTTTTCCTTTCTGGTAGGAGCCGGTGATAGCACCATCACGGCGCATGCCGAAAAACTTGCCATGTTCACGGGCAAATTCTTTGCGGGCTTCATTCAACCTGGCAAAAGCTGGTTCAGAAAGGGTGCGCTGCATGAGAGTGTTTGCTTTGCCACCACCTTTCATCATGCTCAGTACCTTGGACTCGATCATGAGGTCAAGTTGTAGTTCTTTTGGGAGTTTGTCAAACTCCTGCTTGGCAAGCTCGCGGTTCTCTTCAATTTTCTGCTTCTTCTGTTGCTCTTTGGTTCTTGCCACAGCCTTGCCAAAAAGAAGATGCTCATGACTGGCCGCAACAAACTTGTGAACCTCAGTCTCCCACAAGTCTCTGCGGAACTCATCTTGAAAATCCATTTCAACCAATGTGGCAAAAGTATCCTCTATGCACTTGGATACACGGGCAGCATAAGCATCGCGGGACGCGTCCTTTTTGAGGATGTCCAATTCCTCGCTTTTGGCTTTCAGCAATACTTCAATTCGATGGTCAATGTCATTGGCATCCAAGGCATCCAGAAATTCACCAAATGTGCGGCCTTGGGCATCCAGTGTTTGGGGGACTCGTTTGCCAATGACAGTTTGAGGAAGATCCATCTTTGCAAGAAATTTCGGGTATTTCTTGGTGTTCTTGTAGGTCTTGTATTGCTCCATCATGCCTTCAAGCTGGTCGCGAGCAGCCCAAAGCTTGTTGATGTTCCGGCGATGTTGGTCGTGGAACTCAAACAGAGTGTGCTGCAACACTTTGTTCAAAGCCTTGAAGCTAAACTCAAAAATCTCTTCGGAGTTGTTTGGGGCGTCAGCAGGTGGAAGTTCTTGATCTTCATTGGAATCATGAAGAATCTGTTTCCTTTCACACCAATCTGAAACTGATGTGTCTCTCCTGGATAACCTCCACATCGGTGATAGCTCCTGCACTGCAGTTAGAAAACTGAACCTCAGCGAGCAAGGACTTTTTGTGCAGAGCGCGCACGAGATCCAAAGGTATACACTTCTCGATTTGAGCGCCAGTGTCAGAACTCACCACTCTGACACGTAGCCTCGCTGGTTAAACGCCTTCCTGGCGTCAACTCGAGAACTCAAATTGCTGCGGATATTCGCAGCATTAAAATCAGATCCGGCATTGATTTTGTTTTTTTATCGATATTGTTTTTTTATCGATAAAAAAACAAAATCAATGCCATAAATTGGCCTTGTTGGAGGCTTGGCAGAGAGGCCGGGGCCTCTACCGATGGCTCGGTTTGACGCTCGAAGCACATCCCAAATGCAACTTGGATGCTGACAACATCTTGTCTGCAGATTTCCCATCCCAAATTGATTTCCATCTTGGGCACAAGATCGAAAGTGCCTGTGTTCGGTGCCCGCCCACGCGTCGTTGCGTTGCCGGAGACGACGTCCGGATGCTGTGGCTCAAACCCCAGCCCATCCCAGGGAGGATGACCGAAACAGATGGGGTTGGAAGACAGATGGTGTTTTCAAATCTGGCTTTGTCTGAAAATTCTGGGAAAAATCACCAAATTCTAGTGGTTGATCATCATGATTTCCAAGATGCTCAGTTGGGGGTATACCCCATTCTCCTGGCGCGGGTGAAATTCCCCAAACATGTCATGAGACATGTTTTATCTCGTTGTGATCCTCACTACTTGCTTGGTGGCTCTTATTTGCAGGCTAAGTAGGCTTGGTCAGTGATGGGGTAAACAAAAACTTCACCTCCTTACTGGTATTGTCCCATTGAAACCTCCTATATTGGATTTTCCAACATTTTCCATGACTTCAATGATTTTCCCATTTACTCTCTGGTAAACGTTTACATAGCTATGGAAAATCACCATCTTTAATCGGTAAATCTTATGTTAAATTACCTAGTAGTTCGAGGTTTTCCCGGGTTGCCAGAGAGAAAAGACTTCCGTTCCTCGGCTAAGATCTTCTGCTCCACGAAACGTCTCTGCAACCAGCCACCTGGCTCGAAGTCAGTGGATTTTGCGATGCATATTAGGATTATAATATTATAGTTACAATCATACTCAATAGATAGAATTCAATAAATGGATATCAATAATCAATAGTTACTTAGTAATAAATGTATAGACTATACATTTCTGTATATAGATATAAATCTTAGGGGACATTAACAATGTTGTGACATTACATATTAGGAAATATTAGATAAATTAGGGGAGCATCATAACCAATAGTTTGACCATGTTTGACCAATGTCAGTAATCATATCCAATAGTTACAAACATGTTTCTTTGATTACCAACATTGGTCAAACTATTGCTCACATGGTAATTGTTCACTAATCTAGCAAATCTAGCCAATCTTGAATCAATAATTGCGAAAGCTGGGGGATTTAACACACTACTATTGGGGATGAACACCCATTGATAGTGTTGTGCTGATTCAGATGAAGCGCAAGCTGATCACAGGGTATGGGTCATGGGATATCACCTTGCGAATTGGATCTACGTTTCTTATGAGGTGGGTCCGGCTAGATAGCTAATTTGAATTATAACTACCCCATATGCTGCATGGTGCTGGAATATTTACCAACATTTATCCCATAAATTACCCAGTTTTGTAGGTAGATATACCATACATGGAGCATTTGGGTGATCTTGAAGTTCAAGATGAATGGAAGGTAGATTTACGGTGGTAGTTTACGGCTTGTCCGACTGGCTTTTCTGGTTTATCATTTGGGTACAGTACCCTCTGGTAAACTGACAAAACTATGGAAAATCACCACGTTTAATGGGTAAACCAACTATGTCTATGGCCATGTTCTATGTCGCAAACTGTGAATGTTTACCAGGGGGTATTGGGGATATATCGGACTGGTTGGATGGCTTTGAGACCTAAGGACATACTGCGACGATCAGAAAATCTTGCAGGAGTGTTCTGCAGTGAACATGACATGATCCCGGATTTTTTTGATTCTGCACCACCACAGGATGGGATTCGATTCCGTGTGTCTTATGTTTTTTTTCGATATTGTACCACTTTGGTCATTGTCAGGAATGAAAAAATCCGGCGCGTGATCAAGTGAATCAAGTGGCTAGCCAAGTGATCATTTAATCAACCAAAGGAGATCATCTCATGTTGATGTCGACGTCGATGTCGCTGTTGAAGTTCATCATCATCATCATCATCATCAAAAACATCAAAAACATCAAAAACATAACTGAAGGATACAAGCGTGAGGTGAAAACAGTTGTGCAGGTGGTTACATGCCCAGAAGATCTCAGTCTCTGTTGGCTCAAACCCAGCGGTTTTTTTTGTTTTCAGCTGCAAGGTCCTATGGATTATCAGCTGTGCTTCAACCAACTTAATCATGGAATGGAATGGAAAATTCTCTACATTCCTGGTTGATTTTACACATCTATGTAAAAGTTTACCCTCGGGCTCTAGGGTAATCAATGAACATTTTTTTTTCTGGCATGTGGGGTAGACGCAACATTACTACAAAGGATTGAACACTCATGCAACTGTAGATATCTTCCACCATAAAAACTCATAGAATTGGCCTCTACTGATGGGCCCCTACCAGATATTGTATCCCAAAACGAGTTAACTATAATATATATATATATATATATACTGTATATATATATATTTCAATTGGGTTAAAGATAAGGGTAACTCAAAAGATGCCGAACAATGGTTCCAGGATGTTGGTTCGGTGATGTGTCCCAGATTTTCAGGTTTCCAAATTATCATCTATCTTTTTTTGGGTAACCACTACTGGTTGGTGGTTTCAAACATTTCTTATTTTCCATTTCATACACGGGATAATCATCATCCCATTGACGAACTCATATTTTTCAAGATGGTGAAATTGCACCACCAACCAGTGTAGGAATGTAGGGGCACCACTTCATCCCATGTTTTGCAGCTAAATTCCATGTACCCTCTGGTAAACTAACATAGCTATGGAAAATCACCATTTTAATGGGAAAACTCACTATAAATCACCATTTTCAATAGCTATGTTAGTTTACCGGAGGGTAAATTCCATGTAAATCCCCATTGTTCCATCTTTTTCCGAGGCTCCGCTTTTAAAACCCCCGAAACTTCCCGAGGCTTTCAGAGACCTTGGAAAGACAGGGTGTTCCTTGCGCTGCTGTCCACGGTGACAAGGCGCGCCTGATCGAAGAGGTTTATGGTGATTTACCTATGAAAATTGATGGCTAGGTTGGTTTATATCTCAAAGTGAAGTAAATGTTACTGTTGGGTGACTGTTGTAGCTATAGGTATGTATAGAATAGCTAAATGGGTTTATAAACCAAGTTACACAACTAGGGGGCACCACCTTGTGTATGATATACTTATATGATCTTATATGTAGGTATGAATCAGAATTTCGGCACATGGGTCTGGGTCCAAACTGGGGGTATGAACCGTCCGACAAAAAACATGATCATTTTCAGTATGCGTCCATCCGCCTGTGATGGGTGATAATGTTGATCGATACTTTATTTAAATTGTAAATCTACTGTGATACAATCCATCTTGAAATGCAATGTAATGTATCATTATCATCATTGTTGGCTTTAAATGTGGGAATGATACTGATGATATTGTAATATAGATAACTTGTGTAAATCTACTCTGATACAATGCATCAGTAATCAAGGCATTACATTGGGAGCCTTAATCTGATCAGTTCGGCATCAAGACACGGATATTGTACCGGGATGATGTCACTCTTCAGTGAGTAGCAGGTCATATCTCAGTGAGCCTTCTGTAAACGTTTACAATGTGGAAAACTCATCATCTGCAGATCCTTAGGACCGGTTGAAAGGCGAAAAGGACAGCGCGCAAGGACACCGCTAAGCGCTTAGCGGATGTGGGAAACGACACGACGTCGTCTTTCCGGGGAATTGCAGCAGCGGTGGACAACGCGGCATGCCTCTGTGCAGCATCTTGCAATTACTGTACCTTGGAATTACCCTCTGGTAAACTAACATAACTATGGAAAATCACCACTTTTAATGGGAAAACTCACTATATATAAATGTCCATTTTCAATAGCTATGTTAGTTTACCAGAGGGTAACAGTTGCCAAGAGCATACAAGAACCATGGGTTCTGTCTTTTTTGTGGCACACGCCCGCAACAGTGGACACCTGAATCATCTGCCATCTGCCGCAGGGAAGTCACCGTGGAAACCACTACCCAATGGTCACCATAGATGTCCCAAATTCCCATTGGTTGCTTGATTAATACAGGGGGTTGAAGAAACCAAACCGGCCCAGGTAATTTTTTACCACAAGGACATTATTGATGGTCACGCACTTGTGGGTATCAACGAAGGCATATTCAAGCATACTTGTTCTAAACCAGCCCCAAATTTAACAGATAGGGATGGTGTAGACCGTAACAGAAATTGGGGTGTGGTCGTCTTTTTAAAATCACAGGAGTCTCACACTCCATCCCCAATTAATTACCAGAAATGGGGAGTGACTAGAAACCATGTTGTTTTTTTCTGATCGCAACATTACTACAAAGGATTGAACACTCATGCAACTGTAGATATCTTCCACCATAAAAACTCATAGAATTGGCCTCTACTGATGGGCCCCTACCAGATATTGTATCCCAAAACGAGTTAACTATAATATACATATATATACCCTAGGGATCCTGCGTTGCACTTATTGCATGACATTTGTTGATGTATCTGTTTTTTGGCTACCGATACCATATTTTGATATCCGATAGGTTTTTTCGATGACATTTGCGGATACCATTGGTTACCATCAAATCCAACAAAACATGGGTATTTATTCACCATGATTCCATCCCACGACCAATGTCTCACCCCTCCACACTGCCCATCTTCAAGCCGCCACGAACACCATGCCCACTTGCATGGAATGCATCTCGGCTGCATTTTTCTGGGTGCAGGGCAGGGCGTTGGTCAAACACCAGTTCCTGGTTGCCAACATACCAACCGCAACTGCCATCGGAGTAATATACGATACTCCATGATTGGCTTTGCAACAGCAACAGCCAACTTTTTCAACAATCCTACATTATCTTCATCTTTGTAGGTATGGTGATATTTGATATTGTATCTGTACATCCAAATATCTTCTGCCAAATGGCACATAATGTGCAGTTTTGGCAACAGCTTGAACCTCGACACGTTCCTTTGAACGTTTAAATCCGCAAGCTTGTAGTAGCCCTTAATGAACCCCCAGCAAGATTCACATTGCCCACGGGCTTCTTCCTCACTCAAATACCGACCCGCCCTTTCGACACGGTCGAAAAAACTGCCAAAGCTTTGCACGTGCTGATGGCAAGATCCAGTTCTCGGTCACGTACTGAAGTACACAAAGATTCGAGGCAAACCAGAAGGAACAGCAAAAAGACTCTGCCATTGTAAGCCTTGCAGCTCAAAGATGGGTACCCATTGTCATGTGTCACCAAACCAGTTGTGAAGAATCCTTGCGAATGCCTGGATTGCCACTAAAAGAGTGAAAGAAGAAAACATGTACTTTTTTTAGGGAACCCCTGATTCCAAAAAGAGTTACTTATAGGTATTATAGGTGAGCCACTCATATCGGTTTATTCTGGCCCATTGCCGAAACCTTCCGCAACAGTTGCGTAGCTGAGTATCATCAACTCCCCGACTGCCAGCTTCAAAGAATCCTAGGCAATCTGAGCATGTTGGTTCAGGTCTCATACTTACCTCAGGGTCCCTGAGTTAAACCAAAGCATTTGGGAAGTGGATGATAGTGGATGTGTCTTAAAATGTGACTATGCCATCAAGCCACTTAATGGGGAAAATAGTCATAATATTTTTGGGGTGCCATATTTTCAGACTATAAACTTGAAGCCCGAATCATTTCTCTTGGCTAAAAATTGTGGTTCATTCGAGAAAAAAAGCATCAGGCACTGAACGTTGTAGTAAATTACCTGGGGGCCACTTGGATTGTAGTCTACAAATTGTGGGTCCAAAGCCACCCGGCTAATTCCAACGGGGATTGAAAATATAAATCAACCTAAACCAAGGGTCCATGGGAGCAAAGTAATGATAAGACACTTCCATTCAGGGCTTGCAAGACTCCTAAATTGATCGTGTGCATTGAGCAAAACCGCAGTTGGCTCACTTGGAACCCTGGGATGGTGACCAGCGGATGGCTGGACCTCCAAGGGATTGACACTCCATACCCCAAAGGGGCCACACGAACAATTTATCGCTAGCTGCTAGAAGTATTGAAATCGTATGGTTTTGTTTTTTCCCAGCCTGAACGCATGTGCTAATGCATTGGCAGGGGAACGCCGCCTGAAACTATGCCAGAGACGTGTCCACCTGGTATGTCATTGTTCATGACTGGTCAAAAAACAATCATAAATCATCATCAACCCATCAAAGAAAAGTAGACCCCATGTAAAAAAAATACCATTTTATACAAGTAAGTTTCCGAGACAATGGGCATGGGCTCTTCGCCGCTTTGGCAAAACATATATGGCAGATATGGGTACCGCTACCCCAATGTGTCGTTAGGCCATAAGCCTCCCGTAACCACTTCCAGTCTCCTCGGTGTTCGACCAGAGCAGCACAGCCACCTGAGGCAACACCGGGCGAGACAATTCGCTATGGCTGAGGCATTTGGGATTGGAAACTGGGATTGGGAGCAGAACCCCGAAACAAAAGAAACCTTTGTGGAAAATCAACACTTTCTAAAAGCAATCGCCTGCAATGGGTTTGCCATTCCATTTGGCATGCATTGCTGGTAGTGGGTGACCTTCAAAATCAACTTCTGGATGAACCCCATGTGCCATTGCCTCAAGGCGGTGATGTGTGTTGAAGAAAAATAGCACGGTCCTACATATACGTATATATGTATATATATATTATGTTTTGTATACTCATGAGTATAAACAAACATAATAGATCAGATATATCTGATGTTGAGTTGGTTTTCTAGAAAATTGTCTGCTTTAGTTGTTTCAAGCCAAGACGCCCGAAAGCTCCAAGCCAAAACATGATAAATTCGCTCCATGGTGTAGTCTGGGATAAGCCGGCTCACCCTCAAAGTGAACATTGGGAACCTGCAAAGGTCAAGACCTGGGCCACGAAGTGGGGTGTTCATTGTGAAACAGAATTGGATACAAATTAAATGCCTACTACTTCACAGGAAAAATCGGTGCGACTTGGAAAGGGGGAATGCCAGATTCAACCCAAGGTTCTCCGGGGTTCCTGTAGCAAACAATTGAAGTTGAGTACCACTAGTTTCTCCCCAGCCTTATTGTAACGACAGTCGTCGCCATAAGTGCCAACAGGGTTCTGCCCCTTTAGGGGGTGGTCTGATTGAAGGAAACCAGTCGCAGTGCAATGGTCCCAAAACTGTCGGATGGCTCGGTCGTCACGCACTAACTTCTTGGATTCCTCACATTGTGCAAGACTAACAAAAAAAAACAACCTGGGCCAGAATGAAATAGTAAAGTCAAGGGTAACCTTTTGCTAACTTGATGTATGAGCAAAGCATCAAATAGGTAATGGTAAATCTGGTGCGGAAGGAGCATTGGGAGCCAGGCAGTTTCCACAGAACGTCGGTCGACTAATGATCGGACCGGGGCTTCCACCCAATATACAGGTATGGGCAATTCCAATGCGCGATGTAGATCTCTTTCTACATTTCCAGGATACTTCCCTGAACTACCCAGCCTCGCCAATTTGGTAGTCAAAGGCGATAGGGTAGATCCATAGGCCTGCCGATTACACATGTTCTGGGAGGTGATATTGAACTGCATGTATTTTTGTTGGCGATGATTCACTTTCAGAATTCAGAACACATTACCTGTTCGATTTTATATTGGGTGTGGAAGATAACGTTTTTGTTGATAACCATCCCTCAAAAAATAACTATCTTCCAGTTTGTCCCCAATATAGTATTATTCTGGGGCTACCTGCCATATCCAACCATAATCGCGCCTTAGCTTCTTCGCAGGCAGCTTGCGCTGCTCGCTGCATTTCAATGCAACTGGTCGCCTAAGTGGGGTGTGATGGCACATGGGGTTGAAATTTCTCTTTGGTCTATATCAGTTACTGCCATGATCAAAACATTCATATTTATAATCTCAGAGCTTCTTGTTATAGGTACGGTGATCCTGATGCATTGAAAACTT